CACACACACACACACACACACACACACACACACACACACACACACACCCCCAACAGCATCCCTAATCCTAGTTATTTTTAAATGTATGCCAATGGTCACAAGGGGAGCAAGGTACTAACCCATTAACTACTGACAAAAGTTATTTGAAGCAATATCTTAATGACTATGGATCAGTAGTGTTCATACAGAAACACCTTGAAAACTACAAGGCACTAGACAATATATTATTTTTTGAAATAACTTTAAAAGATCTCCGCCCAAATTACCTTGATTCTTATCTCTTTCTCAGCAATTTTCTTTTGCTTTTCAGCTTCTTTTCTCTTACGTCTTTCCTCTTCTCTGCGTTTTCTTTTCTCTTCTTCTCTCAAGCGTTTCTTTTCTAATTCCCTCCTCCTTCGTTCTTCCCTTTTTTCTTCTCGAATTCTCTGAAGACGTGGAAAATTGTTTATATAAATGGTACAAATAAAAGTAAGCAGAAACAGAAAGGTTGCTCATCAGATAAAAGCAAAACCTACCTGCTTTTCTAATTTTCTATTTTTAATATATTCCAAAAGAGGTGTTGTTCTTCTAGCTAAAACACAAAAAATTGTGATGTAGTATGTAACTCCTAAAAGAAGTAGTCTTTTAGAAAAAAACTTGCATTTGCTTTAATATTTAAATGAAATAAGCATTAAACAGTGCTATTCATTTTATCTCAAGAGTGAACATATTCTGAATGTTGGTTAGCATTCACTACTAGGTCAAGCAATTATGGTAATTATCAGTGATAATTATAGAGATAGCAGAGATAGTCTATTAGTGTTTTAACATACCAGTAAAATAAAGTAAAATGCAATTGACTTCTCAATCGTTCTACACATGCATCACCTGTGTGTCCAACTTGGACATTGGTGCTTATTAATAATATTCTTTTTAAGGACACAATTAGGCAATAATATATTTATTTGTTCTTTATACGTATTATTTTCCCCCCCGGGATCTTCCTTTTCTGCTCTCCAAACAGCATGAATAATTCCACATCTATTACATATATGTGTGTGTGTGTATATATATATATATATATATATATATATATATCCTTTTAATTCCTTGCATTGTATGTTCTAATAAATCAGCCTCAGACTTTTTAAAACCACATAAAAAAATACACACCTTGGAATATTTCTTCCAACCTTGAAGAATATTTTTAATGACTGCAAGTAACAGTAGTGTCTCACAAAGTACCAAACATTATGGAATGAATGTCCCAGGAAACATGTCAAGCCCTCACCCTAGAGGTAGAGTTTGATTTGGTTTAGGTGAAGGTCGGGGAATACAAATCCATAGCAGAGTAGGACCACAGACATTTGTTTCAAGTCAGAGTAGATGACTCATTCTTGTTCTGCAGAATCAAATTCTTGACATGTGAAAAGATATGGAAGATTGTTTAGATCCATTCTATAGCAGGTCTGGGTAGCCTCAGGGATCTCCAATTGGAAAAATATCTCTGAAGCAATCTAACTTAGGCAATTCCCAGGTATTCCTAGGATCCAAATTGATCCAGGTCAAAATGAGCCAACCAAAGCAACTCTGGCATATAAATCTCCTAGTTATTCTCCCCTCGGCCTTTTGGGGAATAAAAGCCAGAATTTATAGAGCACTTTAAGAATTGCAACAACAATCCTGTGAGGTAGATGCTGTTATTAGAGCCATTTTACAGATGAGGAAATTGAGGCAAAGAGAAGTTAAGTGACTTGCTCAAGGTCACAAAGTTATTAAGTGTCTGAGACAGGATTCAAACTAAAGTCTTCCTGACCCCAAATTCAGCAACTCTATGCACTATATCACCTAGTTAAGCAGGAGAATCATTATTAGAAAAGTGGTACTCTTTTATTATGTGCATATTAAATGAAATCTTAACTGGGGTATTGGTGCTCCCTGAAATTTCATGCATGACATAATGGGCTACAGAGGTCCACAAACCCATGAAAGAACCCCACTGTTTTGGGCTGTAGGCTGAGGTATGCATTAGGTTGACTAAGGTCACCCAAGCATGCCAGTTAGTCAGTACACAACTAGCTGAATGGACCTTATTTAGAAAGAAGTGACAGGGCCTGTTGGGAGACACAAGACTGAGCAACGTCTTTTCAGGATTTGGTTTATGAGGCTAAAATGACCAAGACTTTCAACCCATATGGCTTTGTTTTGTGACTTATGTGCCAATTCTCAATATGTAGCCCATCAATCTTTTTTTTTTCTATTACAGTGCACACATAAATGTTGTGAGATTATGATATTTGTTGCCCAAGGGAAGGAGATGGACACTTAATTGCTACATGATATGATTATAGTGACATTATCATTTAATACTCATTTTCCACACTTGGTCATAAAAATTCCTTAAGAAAAAGGAACAATCTGTAATAAGATTAAATCCCATTTTAAATATGTAGAAAAAAGATTAACAGAAAGGGAGAATAGTCCAATTCCATTAGGGATATACTATCATTAAAGTCAATGGATTTCTGAGTGTGCACCTGGGTATAGATAATGGATTTAAAAGGAAAAGTTAGCACTGGAGTAGAAAAAGAAGCAAGAATTAAAGTTTATGATCTTTTACCTGACCCACCCCACTTAAAGCAGTATTTTAAGAACAGGCAGGAAGAAATGAAAAGTAAAAGGTCTTTACAAATAACTTTTGTTTCCTTTCCTTTTAGAATTTTTCAAACATACAGAAGGGCAGACAAGCCAATTAAAAGGGTACTATACATGATAGTGACTCAAGTTACTATATATTTCAAAGCCTCCAAATTTATTATTTGGGCTAATCTTCTTACTTACATTTAAAGATAGATAGTTCTATTTCAATTGCATCTTCATCAAAGAAGCCTAAAATATTCTATTTTCAGAATTAACTCAAATAATCCCCTCTCTGTTCACTTCTCTTGATACTTTATTCTAACATGGGAGATTATCCAAATATTTTCATTAACAGTGACAAAGTTAATTAGTATCATAATTAACTGATATCTAGATTTCCTAATATTTCCCAATTCCTTAAGCCAATTCTGCCGAGTTCCTGAAAAAGGTCAAAACAGAACAAAAGACCACAGAGAGGCAAAAGGGAGTAATTCTCAAATGAATGGAAGATAAGAATTTATATTTAGGACTTTCTTTACTTTCAAATTTCAAGATTGGGGATAATTTTACCCGTCATACAGAAAAATTACTGAAATAGAAAAAATATGAATTTTAAATGTAAGATTTCTTATGTTTCTTAGATGATGCCAAAGTCTTTTGGTCACTTCTCCATAAATTAAACGATGCTAAACATTTACATTTTCCCCCCGTTTTTCCAAACAGAAAACTTTTAAACAAATTATCATTAGGTTCTAAAGATATTTTGTTTCAATTTCATGATCATCGTCAATAGTAATAACCACCACCACCACCAGCATTTACACAGCACTTAACAAGATTTACAAATTACTTTGCATATATTAACTCATTTGATCCTCATAACAAGCATAGTGCCAATCACATAAGGACCTCTGAATCTCAACCAATCACTCAGTTTTACTATATGGGATAAGAAACTTTTCTTCTGAGGTTCTACTTTTTGCTGGGCCCTTCTGTTTGCCATTTATTTAATTATTCTTCACCCTGGGATGGACTGGTAGCAAGTTCATATTGGATCAACATAATGCTGAGTATGTGGCAAGCAGATCAAGAAAAACTTTTATTAATTAAACTGAAAGAGGCTTGTATGGAACAATAAAGAATAATGTAAGAGTACACTGAAACTAAATTCATTTCCAGTACCAAGAGGAAGATCCAAATGCTATTTCTTAGTCACCCTTGTTTTAATGGAAAAGAGACAAATATCATTAGTGTTAGGTTTAAAGCTATTAACATACAACATTAATAAGAAATAGTAACCAATTAAATTGTTACTTGAAGATCTTTAGAAACAAGAGAACTATATATGCATGCTTAAATGGCAAGTCTGAAAATTAATTGCAAGCATATTGTTCCTGGATTTGAAGCGCACATGACTCTAAGTCAGGGGTTTTTAACCTGGGGTCCAGGGATCTCCCATTGGGTCTTTGGAAAGATTTCAGAAGTTATGTGAACCTGGATAGGAAAACAATTACATCTTTATTTCCATTAACCTCTTATTGAAATTTAGCATTTCCTTCAACTATTTCAAAAATATTCTGAGAAAAGATTCACAGGTTTCACTAGACTGCCAAAGGAGTCCGAGGCTCAAAAAAAGGTTAAGAATCCTTATTTCAAGTAAACTTCCCCCCACCAACTTTCTAATAAAGGATAAATAACTTGATCTTTACAGCTTGTACTTATTTTCTAAAAGAGGATGCTACTAAGAGTTATATATTCCCCAACACTGTCAGTTTTCCACAGGAAAGGCAAAAGCATATTGTCAAATCAGAATTGTTAGTTTACTAGGTTTGACCAATGCATCTCTTTTGAAAGAATGCAAAATAACAACGGTGAGTTAAAAACTTCTTGTTTCAGTGAGAGGCTACTGTGATTATTCTCTTTTCAAAGAGCACTGATTTATACATCATAAACATTATATTTCTTTCCTTGCATGAAAAAAAAAACTACCCAGGAATAGGAAGTTCAAAAGGCCTAAACAAATGTTCATTTGGAACTATTCATGACTTTTTCTACCATTTGTCAGTTAGCTGAAAATTCCTGTATTTTCCACACTGTAAGATTTTTTAAGCTGACAGCCTTTCACAGTCAGAGGGAGTATGCTTAATTGCTTCTAATTGAACAGTATATTTTTATTTCTCCATAAAAAAGAAAACTGAATATGCACCTAAAAATCTGTATAAAAGGGAGAAGGGGAAGGAAAAAAAGCACGCAAAACAGACCAATGAGTTCCCGTGTCTTTGCCTCAATCTCTCCCAAAAGAGTTTCAGGATTGGCACTTATTTTCTCCTCCTCAACACAATAGGTTTCGAGAAACTTCCTATATTCGGGATCTGTAAATAAGAATGAAAAATTATTTCTCAGAAATTTGGAAGATGCTAGCAGATAAACTGAGTCTATTTTTATTTGAGTATTCTTTAAAACAGATTACCTTCTTCAATGCTCCCCGCTTTGGCATCTTTTTTCTTTAATTTCTTTTTGGAAATCTTTTGGAATGGAGCAAATTCTACTACAGCAGGATATTCCAGACCTTAGGGAGCAAATGCCACAATATTCTTTACATTATATCACATGTCTTTTTAAAAACACGGAATTTTATTTGTGAGGAAAATTAACCACCTACTTGAAGGATAGGAATTAAGAAAAAAGGGAAAATTGTATGGCAATGACAAATTATTATTACTCCTTAAAATGGTTTCTGGGCTACTCATACATCACTTTAGGGAAAACTGGGACACATGAATACACATGAAATGGCCTGAGAGCAAGCAAAGAGACAGAAAATCTATAAAAAGCAGACCCAAGAATTCACTAAGTATAACATGCTGGTATTATTTTTTATATAGGGTCAAACAGCTCTATATGCTTCAACTGCCCCAAGGGTTCTCACTATACTACAGCAGAGCAGGCTGTCATGATAACCCTTAATCACATACAAAAAATTAAATTATTTCCAGTCTATTCTGCTTACAAAAGAAGGAAAATATGTAATACATTTTAAGATTTATATAAAAAATGTTTATAATTTGTGTTTTTTAATGTTAAAGGAATTACATTTCAATTATCTGGAAAACTCACTTATGAGAAATGCCACATTCTTGAATAATGCCAGATAAAAGTGCCAGATAAATAAATAAATGCCAGGTACTACCACGCTATAAAAACTTGATGGCATGGTTCTATTGTCACATAATCACAAGGACATTAATTTATCTAAATTACTGTCCAACATTCTGGATGGAATTAAATTAGTAATTACACAAAACCTTTTATAGTAGTATTCTTTAAAAATAGCTCTCTTCTAAGATGTTAGAATTACCCATATTAAATATTTATAAATCAAAATTATTTCAGCAAAACATTTATAAGCTCAAAGTTTGTAATAAATCAAAAAATGTCAGTGATCTGACCTTTACTATCAATGAAGACATAGCCATCAAAACGGTCTCTAAAAAGAAGGATGTCATCAGGATTTCGAAAATTAATATATGCTCTTGAGTAAAGATGAGGATAAAGACTGAAAGAAGAGATAATAATAAAATGAATTAGAGTATAATATTCAAAAAATAAGGAAAAAGATTCAAGGCAATAATTATCTTGACCACTTCCTAATTCAGATCTCTTCAATAAAACTAATAAATAGAATTTTCATGTGAAAGATCTCTCTGAAGAAAAAGGATTAACTTTTGTATATTATTAGAAAATAACTTAAATACTAAACATTACAATTATATGCTAACAAAATTATATAAATCTAACATACAACCTCAAATTGAGGAAGTAAAAAAAGCAATATTCTTATTTTTCTCATGAACTCTTAGAAACATTTTTATTCATTTCATCTAACAAATCCCTACTCACACTGATAAGACTAAGAATAGTAAACCTAATTATGAATTTAAAATTTGGTATAAGTGCCAATCTACCAAATACAAGAATTATCATGTTTTATGGTACAGCATGATAAAAGAAAAGTCTGGTTTTGACTCTAGCTGTGTCATGATTTGACTCAATGTGTCATGATTTTAGATTTTGGGTCACAAAATACAGCCATCCAATTATTAAGAAATCCTGATGTTAATTTAGGAGAAGGTAAAGGAAAATGGGTAGTCACAAAATCACAGTCCTTTAGTGTCCATATTTTTAATAGTAAGAACACTAAAGAGGCGGAGGGGGGGAACCTCTTTATACAAGTCAATATTTTGGCCAAACTTCAAACGATAACCTCTCCTTTCAAGGTAAAAAAGGAGTGATATCCTTAGGCAATACACAAGCCACAGGTGAGACATTTCTTATATTGTCAAAGGACTGTTTTGGAACCTATTTTCCTAGTGAGAGACAGATCAGGTTGGAGACATTAATGTATAATGCATAAATGTAATACTTTATTACAAATACTAACAGCAAAACACTTTGCTAGGTGGTAGAGAGAAAAGTAGACAGTAAGTTGGAAACAAACAAAATATTATTCTACACTTAAAAATTAATTCCATATTAAATTTTCATCTGCAGTAACATGGGCAGTTCTAAACATTGCCATATCTCAAAAAAAAAAAAAACAAAAAAAAAAACAAGAAAATATCCAAAGTGTACAACTAAAATGATTGAGGATCACAAAGATATGGAAGATACATTAGAAAATGCTTAAGGAATCAGAGATCTTCCGACTGTAAAGATTGCAGCTATTCACAAATGGCAAACCCAGATTTGTTCAACAAAATCCAGGATATTAAAATATGAGCAAGGTAAGATAAATAGAAAACCCACTTTACTTTACACAATGGGCAATCAATTTATAAAACTTGATACTTGAGAAAAAGTAAAGATCAAAAATACCCAAAAAGAGTTAAGATAAATGAATGTATGAAAAAAACAAATTCCTAAGGGAATCTAGGATATTTAGAGTAAACCCCTGGCCTCTGCTTATGATCCACAGGAGAATAATCACACCCTTCCCTCAAGATTTTCCTTGATGCTTCTGTCAGAAGAGAACTGTGAGTTCAGTTATGTTCTTACATAGACTGGAATTTACTGATTGCTTTTTTAGGTTTGGCCATTCAAGATGATTCAAAATCCCACTGCTGTTTCTCTTGTTACAAAGGTAGAAAATGGTGTGAAGGTCATCTAATCAGCTGCGATGGCTCCAACCGAGAATCAGCGTACAATGTGTATCATGTTGCTTCTGGAGAGTCACTAGAAAAGAAGTCTGTACGGATTTGCTACTTTAAAGTTTCTTTCTTAAATTTAAAAATTAAAATGTCAATTTGTAAAGCTTTCTGAGGAACAGTCACATGAAAATGTTCATAAAATAAAAAGTTCACCTAAAATGTTAAAAAATTAGATGGCCAAGGATACAATTCTAATCTTTTTGTTCCAAAATAAAGTTAAGAGATAAATATTCTATAATCTGCCTTCAGAGAAAATTTAATATCTACTAAGTCATGGTTTAGAGGGAACTCACAACACTAAAAGGAAAAAAAGTAATTTTAGCAGTATTCCACCTTTGTTTTTAGTCACCAGAGGTTCAACCATTGGAGAAGAATTCATTCCCATATCTTCCAGGACAACTGAAACAAATCACTATCTAGTGATATATGACATTGTGAACAGTTATGAAAGGGATTACAGGAAGGGGTAGAAATTCTTATTATCTATGTAACTGTTCATCACTAGACAATACTTCTTGGCTTCTTTGTGTCGAAAAATAGATCCTCCTCACCTGGGATCAGCTGTACAAAATTCAAAGTAATCATGAGCAGGAAGTGGATGTAACTGTTCCTCTAGTTGCTCCTTGGTTAGACTGGGAGGAAGTCGACGAATAACTACCTGAAAAATACAGGGAAAAAAGATATTAAACTTACTACTTTTCTTAAGTGCCAACTACATTCTAATGCCCGTATAAAATGTACTCAAACTCAGCTCCTGTCCAGATTATGAGTTAATCAAAGCTACAAACTTTAGGAAAGGTTGAAGACTATATTAGGAGATAAAAGGCAGAGAGGCCTTTAGTTTCCAAAATTTGTTGATGTTGCTTCAATAAACATTTCATTGTGTTTAGTGAGGTTCAGATGTCTTCTCAAGAAATGAATTCTACCTATAACCTTTTCATTATTACGGAAAAGATTAAAGAAGGTCCCATGACAGATTAGAGTGCATAAATACCCGAAGGATCTGTGCCTAAGTATATGACACAGCAGGTTAGAGTTTAAATGACTTGCCCAGGGTACCTAACTCCTAAGTATTAGATGTGGGATTTCAGACTTCAGGCTCAGCACCCTATCCGCCATTCCGCATTGCCTCTGCTATAGATATAGGTATCTTTTTTATGCTTAATAGGTACAGACTGGATATGACTACAAACATTTCCACAAAAATCATTGAATCAAAAAGTATTAAGTCTTAATTCTCAATAGTACCCTTAGTCATTTAGGTTTTCTATTTGTTTGGAAAGATATATAAAATGTATATCTACATTAATATATTATAACATATATTATTATAATATATAAAATTCCATTCAACTCAAGACCTTTACAGGGTCAAAGCACCATAGATTTAGAACTATATGTAATCTCTGAGGTCATCTAGTTCAACCTCCTCATTTTAATGATAAAGGAGCTTTGGCCCAGAGAGTTAGGTAACCTGTCCAAGGTCCTTTAATGCCTTAATCTTTGAATCAATTAGAGATTATTTTGAAAAGTGTTTTTTCCCCAAAAAATACTCTATGTTTGTTATTTGAACAAAAGTGTCATTCTCTGTACTCTAAAAGCATTTTATTTGCATTACATTATGTGAAAATGCTAGGTGACTAGAGTAAGAAGACATTCTAGTAAAAAGCATATTTGTTGATAACTAGATTTAGGCAAAGCATTTTGACATGCTACCTTTGGGTAAGATGAACATATAGACTAGTCAGTATGATTCTAGGCTGCATGAAGAGAAGGAAAGAGATCAGACCACCAAGGAAAGAACACAGTGTCCAATGTGGGGTATTTTAAGGAGAACACTGACAATTTGCAGTGTGTATAAGAGAGTGATCAAGATGGTAAGGGAAAGAGAAAGAATGAAATAGGAGGTTCAGTGGAAGCAACCAGAGCCATTTAGCCAGGAGAACAGATGACTTAGAAGATATATGATAGTTTAGTCTTCAAGTGTTTGAAGAGTTGTTTTGTGGAAGAGGGATTAGATTTGTTCTGTTTGAGGCCAGAGGGCAGAACTAGAGGCAATAGAAGTTGAAGTGAAGTAGATTTAGGCTCAAAGATGCTTCTTAACAATTATAGTCATTTAAAAACAGGATGGTCTACCTTGGGAGGTAGTAGAGAACTTCAAGCTCTTAATGGATAAGGACTTGTCCAGGATATTGTGGAAGAGACTCCTATTTTGGTATAAGGTGGACTAGATCACCACATCCCCTATAATTCTTCCCAATCTAAGTCCTTTTAAACTCTGAAATACTGTGCTTTCTTTTTTTGTTTTACTAGCCAGACTACATTGTAAATTTTCTTACATATAAAGTAATTATTTTGGTTCTCTGTGGTATATGTTCCTCAGTTCTCACAGCATCATTAATATTTTTAAAAAATTTTCAGTTGCATGAATTGACCATTTTTCAAGTATAGTTTTCTTCACAACTGTGGGTCTGTTTGCTTTACTAATGTTCATCATATCAGTTTAAAACATATTCTCAGCTCATGCTGTTATTTGCCACTCTGCTTCCTTTATCAACATTCAGATTACATTATAATTTCTTTCAGAACTTTTTATTTTTAGAGTATAAATTCTCCGCCAGCCTTCCAAGATCCAATTTAACAATCAGAGCTTAGCTCCTTTCACTGGAGATGGGAATTATCTGCATTTGGTAGCCTGAAATTTGTAACAGTGGGAGCTTCTTATTCAATCAATCAAGAAACATTTATTATTGAGCTATTCTTATGTGCAAACTACATGCTAGATGCTGGTGATACAAAGACAAAAAAGAAACAAGAGTTGCCTTCAAGGAGCTTACATTCTACTGGAGGAGTAATTACTACAGGTATGATGTCAGCTTAGAACTGAGATACATAGGATATAGAACAATTCTGCCTCCTAGAGGGCAACGACTGTATCTTTTCTTTTCTGTCTTTGTGTCCCCAGACCCTAACACAGTTAATTAAATTGTCTGCTGAATGAGGGTGGGAAGAAGTGGTCACCACCCACAGATTTTTACAATGCTGCAGCAATGGATAACAATATTCGATTTTCATTTTAAAGCCAAATTATAAGTAAAAAAAAATGTATTAAGTGACTTCCACCTTGCCCTAAGGGAGGAAAAAAAAAAATCACGCAGAACAGTAGACAAGGAATTAAATGCCTAGGGTTCCCATCTTCTCGGTCCCTCCCTTTTCTGGGGGCTATTTTCTTCTTACTCGTATGAGATCTCTCAGCTGGTTTAAAGAACAAAAAGATATCATTAACTGTGGGCCTTTCTAAAGACCGCCCTCTCCACCCCCTATCGCCCCCCTACTGCCACCCTTCTCTTCCTTTCAGCTTCCTCTCGCTGCGGCTGCGGCTGCCCGGCTGCGCCCCCCGCCCCTCCCCCACAGCCGCCGGCGTCCAGGGCTCCGGGGCGCTCTCCCCGGTCCTGAAAGCTCGCCCGCCCTCCCTGCCTCCTTCCCCTTTCCTCCCGGGCCGCGAGCCCTCGCACCGCCTCCGCGCACTCCCTTCCCCCCGCGAGACCCTTCCCCGCCGACCCCGGGCCGCGCGCCCCTCCCTTCCCCTCCCCCTCTCGGCACCCCCCCCACCTTGCTCAGGACCGTTTTCTTCTCCTCCCGAGGCTTGCTGCCGCCTCCTCCGCCACTGCCGCCTCCGCTGCTGCTTCCGCCTCCCCCGCAGCCCGAGGCCGCGACGGCGGTCGGAGGTGTCTCCACTTCGCGCCGAGGCGACTCGCGGCGGAATTGGATCTCCATCGCTGTCCCTCCGCGGGAAGATGCCGGTGGCGGTGGCAGGGGTGGAGGTGGAGGCGGTGGTGGCGGCGGCAATGGCGGCTTCTCCTTGCCGCCCGATCCCCGCCCGGCCCCGCCGACGCCAGAGCCCCCGGCCCCGCTGGCTGCCTCCTTCTCGGACCGCATCACGCACCCGCCGCTGCCTCAGGCTCTTTCTCCCGCCCGTTCGGGGAGTGTCCGGAAACCTCGCGAGATCTCCGCCTACGCTCTCGCGCTACCCCTCCCCCGCCTCCGGCCCTGCCTGCTAGTCGTGCTTCATCCAGCTGTGCCTAGTAAAGAAGGGAAGGATGGGTCAGGGCAGTCGGGCGACGAGGAGCAGGTCAGAAAGGGGAGGCATGGGGATAGACAGAGACTTGACAAGAAAAGATGGCTAGGAGGTTTCAGGGAATGGAGACCATGAGACCATGGAAGTGCCGCTGTCCCTCGAGAAAATTAAAGGGGGTGGGGCGGGGTAGGGCGGGGCCGGCACCGGGAGGAGGGATGGTGCGCCTGCGCATAGGACCAGGGAGGCACGTTCCCGCTTTATCTGCATTGCTGTCTCCCAAGTCGTGGGCGGACAGCCAGGCGACCTTCTTGGAGCTTAGGCTGTTCCCACACCCGAGTACTAGGAGCTCCAGCTTCGCCCTAGAAAATATTTAAACCACTGTTTTCAGGGCTGTGGGGAATGGAATTTCAAAGCTCACCGTCCTTGGTGTCCTAGGGAGGGTATGATTAGATTGTCTAAGAATTCCAGGCCATTAAAAATAAAAATGCTGTATATTTAAAGCGGTTAAGAAATAGTTAAGAAAAACTTAAGGCTTGTCATATATTAAATATTGGTGCATGCAATCCAAAAGCGGTTAAATATAAGTGTATCTGCTCTATTGCTGGGGTAATCCAAGGTTGTTGGTACTAGAAGTTCCACTTAAGGGTTCAACTTAACAGGAAAATCATAAATGCTAACCTCTGAGTTGCACTTTCAACTCTGACCCACCCAATCTTGGAAACAGGAAAGGCATAGCAGGCTGCTATAAAAACAGCAAAAATGATAAAAATCAGTAGCACCCTATGATACTCAGGCAAATAATTTTAAACCTTAAAGTCTTCCAAATAATTTCATCTCCCCTATATTCAGGTGCTTCATTTACAGGGACACTATCAAGAAAGATCAAGTTCATATTTGTTTATTTTTCTTTTACACATGCAACTATTAAGATACGATTTGGGTTAAAATGAACATGGAAATCATTTTTAAATTAATTTTTTTTACAATATTTACGGTTTATTTCCATTTTATTCCATTTGACAATACTATTATTGTATTGATAGCACCTTTCTTCCAAGCACCTCAAAGAACTTTTTTTTCTCATGACAATTAGCAAATAAACTAGGCACACAGATTAAGATGAGGTTTTGGTGGCAGAAAAATGGGGGACAACAGGGCCGTTCACTTTAGCTATTAAAATATTCTGAATGTTCTTTAAATGAGACAATAAATGGCTCACGGAAATTTAAGAGTTCAAACTGAATTTCATGGTGTTTAAAATTTCTGAAAAATTTAAAAACGAGATGATATTTTTAAAATGTCACGCTGTTTGCAGTTCTTCCCTCTCCAATTACTACAAGCTATTCACATTAAACTCAACTCAGTTTTTAGGTTGAGTAATTTGGATGAATTTTTAAGATTATAAAGCAATCATCCACAATGAGGTGTTAAGATATTCTGGGCCTTCATTCTTCAGTCACTTGGACGATAGGTACACAAATAAGTAACTCCTTGGGGGAAATCTTTGGAGTAGGAAGGAAACACTGCTCACTTCTTACATGACTATCAGGTTTATGTTTTTATCTCTCTAGTTCACCATTTTGTCAGCAAAATGAATTGTTAAAAACTTTATTTTTCTGTTCTATATGGGGTTACAAAGATTTGCTGCATTCATACATAAAATGGCTACCAAATTAACCCTAGGTAAAAGCAGAATGCCTTTACTGCAGATAGGAAAAAGACTAACAGTATTTAACAAAGATACCTAAATCTGTATTACTTAGCTGTAATTAAAGCATTTCAACCAGCAAGGACCATCTACAAGCAAAGCATTATATTAATTAGCTTGGGAAATAATATACATTTATAAAATGCTTTATTATTTACAAAGCACTTTCCTTACAACAACCCTTAAATGGGTAATACAAGTATTATTTCAATTTTACAGATGAGGAAATGAGGCTCAGAGGTGAGGTGAATTTGCTCAGGATTACCCAGCTAGAATCAGAGGCTTCAAGTCCTTTGCTCTTTCCACTATTCAATCTATAGTTTGTGTGTGTGTGTATGTGTGTATATATATATGTGTGTGTGTGTGTATATACACACACACACATATATGTATATTCCACTATAATATATATATATGTATATTCCACTGTACTATATACAAACAACATTGCCTCTCAGAAAATTTAAATAAGATAGCATGGTTCTCTGACCTCATAGCGCATATCAGAGGATTATGGTACAAACACAAATAATGAATATGACAATATATTAGAGCACAAGAGTGGTACAGATAAAGGACTATAGGAAATCTGAAGTGGGAAGGATCATGAAAGGATTTCTGAAAGAGTTGTCATTTGAATTGGTCTTTAAAATACGCATAGGAATAAGAGGCCAGAGGAGGAGGAGAGCATTCTAGTGTGAACAAAAGCATTCTTGTACAGTTAGTAACTTTTACTGTGTTTTATTTCCTCAGCTAGACTGTATACTCTGTGAGGGTAGACATTTGTCTTATATTTCTTCGCGTTCCTTAATAGAACCTAGCACTGTCTTGAGAAATTGTAAATAAATATTTGTGGGTGATTTTAAAATGTGTGGTAATTTAAATACTGATATAAATGAACTTGAAAAGACAAAGCTCATCTCTCATAATTTTAATACTGATAAAAAATGAAATTGTAAAGACAAAACTCACTTCTTGGAGCAGGCATAACACAGACTTGTTTAATGCTTTCTGTCTACCAAATACAAACCTAACCTGATGGACAAGTGATTTGAGAGTTCAAAGAGAAATGTTTGCAAATACTTTGAGTGGTCAAAGTTCTAACATTGACTTCATGGAAAAGAATCACAAAATGCTTATCTGGAAATCATGTTTCATCTAAAGAAAAGTGAGTAGTGAAAGCATTTTTTTCTTTACTGTTAGTCTTATCTGGCAAAAAACTTAGAAGAACAGATGTATCAGACTACCCCTTCAAAAAAAAAATGCTAAGACCCAAGCTCCACTCCTGCCTCCCACACTTAGCTGTGTGACTTTGGGAAAGTCACTTAACACCTCTCTGTGCCTCAGTCTTTACCAGTAGACTGGTATAAGGGGACTGGATTTGATGGCTTCAAAGGTCTCTTCCAGCTCTAAATTATGATCCTATGACTTAAAAGATTTTCAGTGGGTGGAACATTTTCAGGACAACAGGAAACAGAATATACATTATTAATTTTCAAACATCAATTAGCTTCCCTTCATTCAGTCAACTAGTCACTTAACTAGCATTTATTAAGCACATGCTATGTGCCAGGCATTATGCTAAGTGCAGTTTCTACAATCCAGTCAAATTGGCTTTCCTAATGTTCCTTACACACATTCCTTTTCCTGCCTCCACAACTTTGTATAGGCTGTTTCTCATGTTAGGAATGAACTCCCTTCTTAAAATCCTTAATTTCCCTTAAAGCTCAATTAAGACAGAAGGCCTTTCTTGGTGCTGGTACCTTAACCTTAAAATTAATCTGTATTTCCTTTGCACATACTTCTCTATATATACACATGTTGTTTCCTCTAACTTAATTTAAACTCCTTGAGGTCAGGTAATGCTTTTGTCTTTATTTCTAGAAACCAAGTACAGTGCTTAGCATATATTAAGTGCTTATTGATGTTGTCAAACCAGCTATTCTTAAGCCTAGTTTACACCTTTCTCTACTCTCTTCTCTGTAAGTTACATTTAATCTGTCAGTTTTCATACAAATCCAGTAAAGGAATGAGAAAATTTTGTTTTTGCTTCTTGACAAGGAACTTTTGATCCTCAAAGTCCTGTCAGATAATGTGGTGGAGAAATCACAATGGCTGGGAAGGCAAAAGAATTAATTTTATCTTCATAATCTCAATTCCCAACAAACATAAGAGCCTGGTTATGGCAACTCATGTTTGTGCTGTGATTCATGGCTTATAAAGTGCTTTCCCAAAACCCTTTATGATGAGTTGTCATCATCCCCATTTTACAATGGAGTACTTGTGGAGGTTAAGTGATTATTCGAATGTCATAGAAGAGGTTTCAGCTCAGGTCTTTAAACTTTGTCCAGTGCCTTTTCTTCTCCATTTACCACATTGCCTTTTACTGCTATTTTTTTTTCTATTAATGGTGTTAAATGAAACAATTTACTCTTTTAAGACCTCACAGACCAAACTCTTCTTCCCTAATCTTAAAATATGATTTGAATATGCCTGTGATATCATCATTTCTTTCCATTTAAAATCTATTTTAATGAATTATTTTTATTTTATTTTTTTAGGCAGTTGGGGTTAAGTGACTTGCCCAGGGTCACACAGCTAGTAAGTGTCAAGTGTTTGGTCTGAGGCCGGATTTGAACTCAGGTCCTCCTGACTTCAGGGCCGGGGCTCTACCCACTGTGCCACCTAGCTGCCCTTAATGAATTATTTTTAAAAGAGGCAATTAAGGAACACCTGCATTAATCTTCCTTAATGAAAAGAGCCTAAAGGAGGAAAGGTGACCTTTTTCAGAAATTAAATTGGTTCTGTCAGATGTTTCTTGATATTGACATCTTAAAGTTTCCATGACCAAAACAAAGTTATATTAACTCCTGACCAAGTGTCAACTGTAGATGTGGATGACTTCATCTTGGGATGCATTGTACCCCAGTCTTTAATTTCTGTCCAAGGAAGTTCTCAAGAAAGAAATGCTTATCCAAAGAAAAGCTCTTGCTTTCTACCAGACATATAACTGGCAGATGTTATCCATTTCAACAGCAACAGCTTCTGTGACCATAAAAATTTTCCTCTATTTTTTTCTTAAGAAAATTAGGCAGTTGCTCTAATTTTTAACATTCTTTTAGGATAAATTTCTAGCAAAAATATGCATCTATCTGAACTGTTAGGAAAATAAGCAACTATGGAAATAAAAATTAATGAAATTAGAAATTACCCTGTTTGCTTTTCTTAATTATTCACTTACTATCTGAAATTATAAGCATTGACATTAATTGTTAATTGATAAGAAATATAACAAGCTTGAACCAACTTCTGGAAACTTTTTGTCCCCTTAAGGCAGCACTTCATTTGGTCAGGTGGTCATTCATCTAGGAACCTCAACTATCCAAAATACAGCCAAGAATAATAGCCAACACAAAAGTTATAAAGCCCGCATACATTAACATTTATGTACATTACTCATCAGTAAGGAGCTTTCACTACAAGCTCATTTATAAATCTTGCTTTAGAAACAATGCTAACAAGCAGCTTCCCCCAACTATCTATTCCCTGACAACTCCATCCCCCTTCTCCACCCCACCTCCCCACCTAGTTTTATCATCTTTAAAAAGAGGTAAGTTGAATTAGATGACTTCTAAAGTCCCTTCTATGATCCCAGATTTGATTATATGATTACTCTACAACTGCTTATAAGGGGCTAGGCCAGAGACCTGGAGGCAAGCAAAATAACAAGAAACAACAGCCTGAGGACAAGGAAGGGTAGAAACAAAATCTTTAAAAAAAAAAACCCGTGACAGACTAGGACCATAGGAAGAGAGTAAAATGGCTCTAAACACTATAAATGCCCATAAAAGCACTACTCTATGTTTATGATGATGGCCCTAGTTATTAAAGAAAAGGTTTAATAATGTTCCATTCATTAAGCTAGCTAAAAAGAACATAATACATTTTAGAAAGACTCCTTCACTTCCATCTATGTAAGTGCTAGGTATCACCATCATCATCTATTAAAATTCTTTTCTTCATTCTAGGCTTAGCTCAAGGTGCCACTTTTGCCATGAAACCTTCACTGATTCCTCTCCCAAAGTTGAAATTAACCTGAGCCTCCTTGAATTTCCCTGGGAACACTCTGTACTTTTTCTTTGCCCCATTAAGCTCTACCTTAGATCATACTTATATTGCAACCCCCATGCTTACCCTATTAAACCATAATAACCTCAGTGGAAGCAGGGATTATGTAGTTTTCCATTTTTATATCTCAGCCACTAGCACCATGCCGTACACATAGCAGATACTAATGTATTGAGCAGATTTTTTGGTTGAAAATAGTTAAAATTTAAAAAAAAGTTTTAGCATTTAAAGGGGTAAGCTTCTTTTATTTGCAGAATTTATTTTTGTGGAACATCTTATTACCTGATGACCTTTTTCTACCAAAAAGTGGAGTGCAGCTCCTTTTTTTAGGGTTGGTAAAGAGCTGGAAAATACAGAATTTATTTTACATGAGCAACACATTCCCCTTTTTTTCTATTAAATTACTGGTTTTTAATCTGGTAGACTGCAGTTGTTTCAATTTAAGTCCTGGGTATATGGAAATTAGGTTTTTGTTTTTAGATTTTTTTGGTACACAAAGAGGAAAATTCCCAGAACTATTCAAGTTTAGCATTGCCAGTTTTGGAAATCAAAACAATGACTTGGCAATTCCTTAAATTAGAAAAAAAAATCATTCACAAAACTTTGATGGGATTTATACCAAAGAATTCAAATTAATTCAACAAATACTAAGGATATAATATGTACAAGGTATACATACTGAATGAAGCTTTTGTGGACTTAGGGATTTTTTGGTGTTATCACAGATAGGTCCTCTAGTATCATATTTATTTCTAGATATATGAAGAAAGGTAGTACGGATTAAAAAAAGAAAACAGTAGACAGTGTTGCACATTCAACAATAATGTTTAGAGTTCTATTCTAGAGCTTCATTGTTATACAAAGGTGACCTTGAGCTCTCAAAGGATATACCAGTAGACTAACTCTGCAAAGGCCTACCAAGCCAGAAAGACTTCAAGACCTTGATTAGCCAAGAACTATTACTTGAGGACCAAACCATGAGGTTGCTTGAAAGTGAAAGTAGGGCTATAATGGAACCTCACTGACTAGATGGGCATCATAGGATGTTACACAGATGATGATTATTTTTGGCCATAGCACTTCATAACACCTACTAAGATATGATCTAAGATAGGGAGTGTACGCACTGGTGAAATCACAAAAATATTACAATAAGGGATATTGGTACATTTTTAGAGCATCAAAATGTATAGCTTTGAGTGAAGATATTAACTTGGAATATCTATGTAATCTAGCAATCATATTAATAGGCTATTATTCTCCCTGACTTAAAATCAAATGTCCACCATTGGTAAACTTTAATGCATATAGTCTAACAAATGCACAAAACTATGTTCTTTATATGACATAGTTTAATAATTCAGAAACAAATCTGTGTAGATGTATGGGATATTAATGGGAAAATGCAAGCCCTAACTTTTTGGGGGATGGAAGGGGATGGTTCAGTTCTGTGATTTCATTGGTGTGAAAAACATCTAGTTTGGAAATTCCCTCCACTGATACAGCTTGACAACTCCTGTGTAATTAATTTATGGCCTGTTGAGTGTGGGTTCTTAACTTTTTTGTGTTATGGACTCCTTTAGCAGTTTGGTGAAGTCCATGGATCCTTTTTCAGAAAAATGTTTTTAAATAACTGAAAGAAATGCTGTTCTTCATTTTAAGTTAGGGAAAATAAGTAATTTTTTTCCTCTATCCAAGTTCATGGACCCTCTGAAATCTATCCACAGGTCTGAATCCTTAACCTAAAGTCCACAGTTAAGAACTCCTGCTTTAGAGAGTTGTTGATGGCCCTGAGAAATTAAACAGTTTGCCTCAGTTCACATGTCAGAAGTACTTGAAACCAAAATGTCCCAACTCTACCTACTGTAGTCTATCTATTCTACTATACCACCTCTGAATTTTTTTAAAAAGAAATTTAAATTTTCTGATGAAAAATTTACTTATTTTGAAATGAGTGGGAGTTTCAAACTAAGCCAGTGAAAACATATCTCTTTAAAGTAAAAGTAAATTTGGAAGGGAATTCTTTTGGAGATGTTAATCTAGATCAGAGAAAGAAGCTGTGCAATCAGTATATCTTTTAAAAAATCTTACAAATTCTGAAAATTAGCTGAGGACATTTAACCAAAATAAAATTTGCTGAATAGAACTGGAAAAAAAAGGACGGTAATTTTAAAATCTTCTAAAATAAGTGATGTTGGTAATTCTTAAACTATAAGTTACAGATAAGTTAGTTGCCAAGGGAAAATAGTAGAGGGAAGCTCCACACTGGAAGTTCTTATGTTAGTTTGTTAGTGTGGTTATTACACTAGTGAAATCATTCTAGACTACACATCCTTTACCCTTCCCTTCTCAGGCCTCTCCCCACCTTCCCACCCCCCAACAAACCACACACCCACACACCCACCCACCCTCATCTTTATAAATATTAAGAACAAGAGCTATTTCCTTAAAGGAAGTTTTTGCAAAAGCAAAGCAGAGAAGCTTTGTAAGGGTCAAGTCAAACTCAAAGAATATGGTACCACTTTTGGGGCTTCAAAATCCAGCCAGGCGACAACATTACTATTACCCTTCTGTACGTAGTTCTTTATGTCCCTTCTAACAAGTTCTAGCTCACCAACTGTCATTTTACAAGATTTCTCAAAACTATTCTTGGTTCTGTAGGGTCATGGGATCACAGATTTAGATTTGGAAGGGAGCCTAGGCCATCCAAGTCTAATCACCTCATTTTAAATTTGAGGATACTTGAGGCCCAAAGATGTTAAATCATTTGTCCAAGATAACACAGGTGGCAGGTGGCTGAAACGGGGAGAGAATTTGAATAGATGTGGTGGTAGCCAAAACAGCTGTCTCAATGTAGTATACTAACATTCATTATAAGCTTACAGGTTATTACAGTGTAGAAATTAAAAAAAAAAAACTGGCAGTGGACTTAGAAATACCATCAAGCAGGCAATATATCTGTGTCTATAATCTTTTCATAAGTGGAAATGGACATGACTAAGTTTAAAAAAAAATCAAACCCATCCCAGAGTCAAAAAGGAACAAGGGAAATAAAAAATACTTGCTAAATATACACAATGGTATTTGAACTACTGAAGGGGTAATATGTAAAGTTTAACATTTGAAGCACTGCAGTCTCTTTTTGGTTCCCTGACAAAACAAATTACAAATCTTTTCAGTGAGTTCACAGTAGAGTGATTCTTGCTAATTAAAGTGACTAAACTACAAAATAAAAAAAAGATCACAGTTTCAGTTTCAAAATAAGTCATACTATACATTTTAACTCAATATAGTATTAGGAGACTTCTTTTTGCTATATACCAGGAGAAAGCTTCTCTATACTTTATAAATCAGTTTCAGATAATATAATTAGATGTCATCTGTTCATAACATTAAAATTATGTACCATTAAAAATAATTGCCAGATCCTCTTTCACACAATCTTAAAATTACATAAGTACTAAAGATGCTAAAATTAATTGCCCAAAATAGAACAAGAGAACCTAACATTTAACACAGTTTAAAAACTTGGTCATCAGTTTAATATACAAAAATGAGATGAAATCAAACACATGCCTCCCATATACTAAAACACAGAAGTTAAAAAGATCAATGGATTACTTCGAAGTTATTTATTTTAAAGAACAAAATGCTAATTTTACACTAAGATTCCCTATAATTCTTTTGGCTTTTTTTAAAATGACAAAATGTGCTTCACTGATAGGCTATAAGTCTGGTAGCCTTAATACTATAATAACCTTTAGCTGTTTTAAATTAATTTTGATATGTACTGTAAACAATTTCATATTAATTTCTTAGTATTTATCACAGTTTTAATAGCAGTCAAAGGGTCTCATTACAGTTTAAAAAACATAAGATGGTTTACCTTCTTTATTCCATAATGTGTAACTTTTTTTAGAATCAGTAAAATTGGAAAACCATCTGTTGTGAAGGTGTGCTATCCAGTCTTTTAAGGCAGGCATAAGTTCTCCGCTGCTAGATGTAGAGATGTAGTTTGGATTCATATAAAAAAATAGCAAATTCTTCAAACATGACAAGGATGTGACAAAATACTAACATATCAGGACAAAATGAAATTTTGACCAAGGCTCTGAATCATGTACTATGGTCTGACATGGATGTTTCTAACATCATGTCACTTTCATTCATTTCAATTTCAAAGGTTTCTTCCAATGGAGGCCTAGAATCTGTGTTCTTCCTTGAATGATGTGACGTTTCTAATGGTATAAGCCCAGTTTCTTCCAGAGTCTGTCTTTCTATATCAAATTCCCTGAAATCCCATGGAGGTGAAATGATGTTTTTCAGTGTCTTCATTGTATGTACATCAAAGTCATAACACCTCAATTTGTCTTTTATCTCTGTACCTAAAAAACAAAGAAAAAATTCAAGTGATTATTACCACAATGTCTAGATCTTTCATTTGTAGGGACAGAAGACTGGGCTTATGATTTCATTAGGGCTGGGAACTCCTGGATAAAAAAACTTCCTCTAATAATGCACATTGGCACCTACTCTGCAACTTCTAGTCTTAGAGAGCTGCTTAAAGCACATGTGTCAAATTTTGCAGCCCACAAAATTCCTGGGTGCAGTCTGAACCAGATTATAACTGGGAAAAAAAAATGTAACTGGGAAATGTATAATAAACTAAAAATATAATAAAATATAGATAATGCTAATCTGTGGTTTTCTAAGTTAGTATACAGCCCACCGGGATCCACTTTTATTTGAGTTTGACACTACTGGTTTAGAACACTAAGGGGTTAGGTGATTTTCAAGAGTCACGCAGTCATTATGTGTCAGTGGTGAGACCTGAACCCAGGTCTTCCTAACTTCAAGGCTGGTGCTATTTAAAATAAGAAGAAATGGGAGAGATTCCTGTCTCCAACATCAAAAGCAGAGGAAAAGATCCCAAGTATACAGAAATATTTATAGCAATTCTTTTTGTGACAGCAGAGAAGTGAAAGCAAAGTAAATCTCCACTGATTGGGTAATAAGCTAATTGTACTTGTAAAATACAATATTATTGTTCCACATGAAGTAATGAATAAGAATCTGGAAAAACTTGAGATGATCTGTATGAATGAAGAACAAAGTAAACAGAACCAAAACAATATGTACAATGACCAACTAGAAGGAGAAGAATACAGAAAGAACTCTGATCAATGCAATGAACAATCTTATTTTGGAAGAAAGATAATAAAGCGTGTCTCCCTCCTTTTGGCAGAGAGGTAGAAGACTGCAGGAATAGAGCAAAACACACACTTTTATGTTTTGTTTTTTGCTTTTTGAGGAGGAAATCGGGGTTAAGTGACGTGCCCAGGGTCACACAGCTAGTAAGTGTCAAGTATCTGAGGCTACATTTGAACTCAGGTCGTCCTGACTCTAAGGTCAGAGCTCTATCCACTGCGCCACCTACCTGCCCCTCAAAACATATACTTTTAGACATGGCCAATCTGTTGATTTGTTTAGATTAATAATTTTTTTTTTATTATTATAAGGAAGAATTTTAACTGGGAAGGAGGAAAATCACTGAGAAGTGATAGAAATGCTAAAAAAAAACTTTTTTAAAAACAGATGCCATTTACAATAATGACAAAATACATATCAAATATCTAAGTATTAATCTATCAAGACTTACACAAGAACTTTAGAAGGAAAATTATAAAACAACTGTACAGAAATAAAGAATTAAATAACTGCAGAGGCATTAAAAATGTACATGGCTAAATGGAGTCAACAAAGTAAACATAGCCATCATAGTTAAATTAATTTATAGCTTTAAAGTAATACCAATTAAAATCCCAATGGGCTACACATCTTAGAATCAGATAAAACAACAATTAAATACATAGAACAGACTATCAAAAATACTGAGTGAAATTGTTAAAAAAAAAAAAAAGGAAAAGAAAAAAAATTGTCCAGATGACCAGATCTCAAATTATATATCTGTAAAGACTAAAATTGTCATGTATTAGATAAAAGAAATAAGCTTAATGGAACAAAATAATTCAGCACTAGAACCAAAGATACACAGTAGACTAGTGTTGGATAAATGTAAAACTAAAAAAATAGAGGATGAATTAATTAATAACAAAAGTCATGGGAAAAACTGATGAAAAACTATGATGAAACTATGATTTTAAAAAATGGGACTGGAGCCATGTCTCACATTAACAAATTCCACATACAGGACTGATTTATATAAGATGTTCCAAGAAGTCTTAGTGCAATTTAAGCATTAGTAGCTTAAGAAAACATACGGTATTCCATTATCTTCTCGTTTTTTTCCATATCTATTAAAATTGTCTGGCGTTGGAAAATTCTGAACTGTTCAGCAAATGTAAGAAATTAGAAATAGATACAGTGGATAGAGCACTGGCCCTGAAGTCAGGAGGGCCTGAGTTCAAATCCGGACTCAGACCAAACACTTGACACTTACTAGCTGTGTGACCCTGGGCAAGTCACTTAACCCCAATTGCCTAAAAGAAAAAAAAATAGATAAACTTGATTACATAAAAATAGCTTTTATTCAAGTAATGCATCCAAAAAAAAAGAAAAGGAAAGAAAGAAAGAAAAAGATTGAGGGAAAATACTTGTTTGTTTTTGGGAGGCAATTAGGGTTAAGTGACTTGCCCAGGGTCACACTGCTAGTAAGTGTCAAGTATCTGAGGCTACATTTGAACTCAGGTCCTCCTGACTCCAGTGCTGGTGCTCTATCTACTGCGCCACCTAGCTACCATGAGGGAAAATATTTGTGATAAATACTTCTGGTTAAAATTTTATATTCAAAATCTATTTGTAACTGACAGACTCAAAAGTAATCTTTATTCCCCTCCAATATTTGGTCAAAGGATACGAACAAGTAGTTTTTAAAAGAACACAAATTATCAATTATCATAAGAGGAAGTATTCAAGCTTTTTAATAATTAGAGCAATGCCAACCATTAAGTTGGCAAAAATAATTTAAAATGGCAATTCAGTGTTGGTGGACTTGTGAAAAGACAGCTGCAGTACTGAATTACCCTGCTTACAGAGCTGTGAAATGGCACAATTTTGGAAAACAATATGGAATGATCATAAATAATAAGAGTTATAAAACTTTTATCTTTGAGACAATGATTCCAGTTCTTAGGTTTGGATTCGTGAATCTCAGCTCTGCTGGTCACTACCTGTCTGAATTCTGACAAGGCTTTTAACTTTTCTACAGATGAGGAAACCTGAGAACCAAAGTGGGTTAGGTGGTTTTCCTAAAATTAACAGAATCACCTAATCACCTCTGCCGTCCCTCCTAGCTCTAGAACTACGATTCTGTGATTCCCCTGGAAATCAGGAACTCATCTGTGGCTCTGAGCCTCTGAGAGCTGCCTGGGTTCTGAGACGTTCAGCGATTTGCCCAAAAGACTACACACTACTCCCCACTGCTTCTCAGTGACTCCGTTATTGGGAAAGGACACTACTGAAAATGAAAAAGAGATGCTTGTACAAAAATATTTTTAGACAGTTATTACTTTTAATAGAAAACACTATAAACAACCCAAGTACCCAAAAACTGGAAAGTGGTTGAACAAATTATGGTACATAAACCTAAAAGGGGATTTACTGTCTCATAAAATGACAATTATTAAGAAATTAACTTGTATTTATTTTGTATATACAGAGTATCCCAAAAGGCTCATTACAGTTTAAAGCTTTAATAGCTTTTTATATTTACTTATATCAATATAGATAGTTCCTCTAATAGAATGTAAACTCCTTGAGGGAGGTGTTTTTTTTTTTAAACTTTTTTGGAAATGTCTGACTTTGTGTCCTTAGCAAATAAATGCTTGACTGATTTGTTCTGTAAAAATATAACTGTTCTATAAAATTCTATTTATGTACTTGTTAAATTGTAAATAACAGAAATTTATGATTTCACGTACAATGTTTTTATTTGTATATCTGAAGGTCTCTTTGTTGGTGATTTCCAAGTTTATAAAAAAGAATATCTTTATAAAAATGATGCATAAAAGGGAAGGAATAATAAAATGGAACAAGGTTATCAAAATGATAGGAAGGGATAGGATAAAAAAGCACAGAATGAGAGGTTGGTTTAGAAAGTAGACCACATATAATCTGCTTTCTGAAGAGTTTAATAATTTCAACAACCATTTATTGAACACATCTTATATGCATAGCACTAGACCTAGAGTCAGGAAGACTCGAGTTCAAATTTGGCATCAGATACCATTAGCTGTGTAACTATTGTCAAATCATTTAATCTACATCCACCTGAGTATTTTTATCTGTAAAATGGGGATCATAATAGCCCCTGCCCCAGGATCGTTGAGAGCATAAAATGAGATATTTTAAAAGTACTTTGCAAACCTTAAAGTGCCTCAGAAATATTAGTTGTTGTTATTATTATTAATAATACTAATACCATTAAGCAGTCAAAAGAATTGTAAAACATGATCCCTGAACTGAAGGTGCTATGATCTAACGGGGGTAGGGAAGACAAAACTACAGACATACGAAACAACTACAAAACATTTCAGTAAATATAAACTGGAGCATCTTTATAACACTGGCTTTAGATCTATGCCATGAGACCAATTTATAGGTGAGATTATAAAGTGACTTTTCAAACACTTTAGTAGTTCAGCAATTCAACTTTGATTGTAAGATGATGAAATCTACTCTATGGCATTACGTGGAAATTCCAAAGTCTCACACAGTCACATAATCTCAAAGGTAGAAGAGACCTCAGAAGCCATCTAATCTAATCCGTATCTGAACAAGCATCTATCCTACCCAAGTGTTCACCAAGACTTGCGGTGAATGTAAAAATACTACCTGCTGAAGCAGACTATTTCATTATCTGATAGCTCTAATTGTTAGGAAGTTTTTCACTATAGCAAATCTAAATTTGCCCCTCTGCAAAAGGTGAATACAACTTTCAACATGTTTTCTTCTCATTCCTTTCCTCCTCTAACTCCTTCTGTCTGGCTAAACAGCCTCAGTGTTAGGTGACTGGCTTTTCTTCATGAAGTTTAAGACTGAATATGTTTTTCCTGGCTGACATATTATATTGATTCATCTTGACTAAAACCCCTAGATTTTTTTCAGATTGCTATCTAGTCAGAATTCCTCCATTTTATACCAACAAAGCGGAAATTTAAAACTCAGATGTTACAACTTTATATTTATCCCTCATATCATGTAACTTTTTAGAATCAGCTCAATGTTCTAGCCTGTTAAAGTTTCAATTCTGACTCTGTTAGCTATTCCTTCTAGCTCTGTGTCATCTGCATTATCTGCTAAGTATATTATCTATTTCTTTACTCAAGTCATTGATAAAAATGTTAAACAGCACAGGGACAAGTACACATTACTGTTTCATCACATTATAACCTGCCTTCCAATCAGACAAAGTCCACCTTCCAAAGTAGACAGTAACTATCAAATAGTACTCTTCAGTTCTATCCATTCAACCAATTTTGAATCCTAACTATTTATTATTTAACCTGCATTTCCACACAATGTAGACTTTGTCAAATGCTTTACCAAAAATCAAGTAAACTACAATATTCTTCTGAACTACCAGTCTAGTAACCCTGTCACAAGGGAAATGAGTTAAGTCTGCAAGACCTGTTCTTCATGAAGCCATGCTGGCTCTCTGAATTCACCACATTCTTTTCTATATGACCAGCCATTCCCTTTAGAATACATTCTAAAATTCTGCTGAGTGATCACCTGCAATTCACATAGTTCACTCTCTTTCCTTTTCTGAAAGCAAGACACTTCCTCTTCTTCAATCCTGCAGAATCTTCTTCTCCACAAGCTTTCAAAGCTCACTCACAGTGGTTCAACAATAACATTTGCCAATTCTATTACCTTTCTTGTGATTATCAACTATTTTTGTTTTCCTGACCCCAGGCATTTTCACTGGTTGTCCCCAAGGCCTGAAATTCTCTCCTTTCTCACCTCCATCTCCTGGCTTCCTTCAAGTCTCAGCTAAAGCTTCATCTTCTGCAAAATGCCTTTTCCAATCCTTAATCTTAGGGTCTTCCCTCTAAGACACCCCCAAGTTATTCTGTATGCATTTTGTTTGTATACAGGTTTTGCATACTGTCTGTCCCATTAGATTCTGAACTCCTTGAGAGCAAGGACTGGCTTTTGCCTTTCTTTATGGCTCTGCTATTTAGAACTCAGCCTGGCATAGAGAAGGTGCAGAATAAATGTTGGTTGACAGAAGAAAAATAAGAAAAATAAAATATAAGTAACTGGGCCTTCTTTGTTATTATGAACATCCCATCTGCTCAGAATGAACCTTTTATCCTTTCTTTGAACCTGGTTTTAAAAAGGCCCTTTTTTGGTTGTCCTGTTAAACGTACATATACACACGCACACACATATCCCCTTTTTTTTGTTGCCCTTAGATGTCATCTGAAATGCCATGCTTTTGTATTCAACCTCTATTATCTGCCCTTGCATCCATCTTCCATCTTTTATAAAATCCAAGTTGGTTGGTAAGCTCCCTGTAAATTAACACTGGTTTCTTTATATAACTGAACCTTTTCCTTCTCTTTATAATTGTATCTTTATCAATTTCAATGGTAAGATTTGGCAACAGATTAAATAGATGGGGTTTAGAGTGAGGAGTCCAAGATGACACTGAGGTTGTGAATCTAGATGACTGGAAGGATGGAGGTGCCCCCAACAGCAATTAGGGAGTTAATAAGAGGATAAGGTTTGGGACAAATAATGAGTCTTGTCTTGGAAATGTTGAGTTTGAAATTCATACAAGATATATGGTTTGAGATGTCTAATGAGAAGCTGGAGAGGTGAGACTAGAATTCAGATGAGAGATTAGGGCTAAATATGTAGATCTGGGAATCATCTGCAAAGAAACAATACCTGAATTTATGGAAGCCAAAGACATCAACAAGTAATATTCTGAGAGAAAAAAGAAGAGGGTCCAAGATAGAACCTTTAAGTTGACCCATAGTTATGGGGCATAACAAAGATAAAGATATAGCAAGACACTGATAGGGAATAGTCAGATAGTTAGGATGAGAATTAAGAGACAGAGTTACGAAAACCCAGAGATAATAAAGTATACAGTGAGTGAGTGTCAAATGCTGCAGAAACGTCAAAGAGGATGAGGAGGGTTGAAAAGCTATTTCATTTGGCAATTTAGAGATCAATGATAATTTTGGAAAGAACAGTTTCAGCTGTATTGTGAGGTCAGAAGTCAGATTGCAATATCATTTAGAACAGCGTGAGAAGGAAAGAAATGGAGGAACCATGTACAGATGACTTTTTCATGGAGTTTAGCTGGGAAGATAATGAGATATAAAATGAAAGTTAGTGGAACTGATAGGATCAAGTGAAAAGATTTTTTTTTTTAAAGGACAGGGCATATTTGTATAACAGGGAAGGAGCCCAGATAAGGAGATTAAAGATTAGAGGGGAGGGATGATGATAATGGGGATATTCTTCTGGAAGAGGAAGATGGGGATGAAATCAAGGGTAAAGGAGAGGAACTGGTACAGGCAAGGATAAGGACTACTTCTTTAGGGATTGGAGCAGAAGAGATGATGTGGATGGGGAAAGGGAGAAAGAGAGCATCTATTTTCAAGGATGGTGTCAGTTTTTCAGTGAAGTATGAGGTGAGTTCCTCACCTGAAAGGTATGCCAGAGGAGGCTTGAGGAGAAATGAGAAAATTTGGAACAGCTGCTGTGGTGCACTAGCTAGAGAACTGGTTAGAGAAGTTGGAAAGATTACCTCAACATAGAGAGCACCCAGGTAAGACTGATAATATAATTTTGGAGTGAACCCAATTAACATTTTTGTGGTTCTCCAGTTCCTTTTAAAATGATATGAATGGAAGTGAAAAAAGGATGATGTAATCTATGGCTAAAGTCTGGTGAAACGTGCTTGGCAGTAGGATTCAAGGGCAGAGAACAGAGGGCAGTATGGAGCTGAACTGGTGCACACAGTCAAGACTGAGGAGGAAAGAGTGGAGATAGTGCACGGGGATGAGCTAGGAAAGTAGTAAGGGATAAGCTGACTGGAAGTCTTGGTGGGGGAGGAATAACAGGATTGAGTCATTCGACAAAGGAAAGGCTGAAATGAAAAAAAGATTATCATTACACAAAGGATTTGGGAATTTGTAGAATCAGAGAATTTGAGAATTGGAAAAGACCTCAGCAATCACTGAGCTTCTGCTTGAGAGCACTAAGGAGATGGAGAATCCATCACTTCTCAAGGCAAGCCACTCGATACCATTTTTGTACAGCTCTAATTATTAGCTTTTCCTGTCATCATAACTAAACTGGCTTCTGAACACAGAAGGGGAAGAACGGTGGATACGAAGTTCAAGGGTATGATCATTTTCGTGTATAGCTGAGATGGAATAGAAAAGCAGGTCTGGAGAATTGAGCTGAGGACTTGGGAAGTTAGAGCATTTGTGGTCATATCAATGTGTATGCTGAAGTCCCCTAATATAAAAGCGGAATTGGTATAGTTCTGTACTATAAGTCCACGACAATAATTCTCTTTCTAGTTGTTTAACTTTGATACTAATTTTGAAATATTTTCAAGAGTTAAAGACAAACTATCATGACAGTTCTGCTCATTTTCTACCTCAGTTCATAAATATCTTTACTGAAACCTACACAGTGACTTCATGAGTGACTTTATGTATCAATACCAAAAAAGCATTTTTAGAAATGTTTTAATATTTAATTAGGTGAAACATTACATGAATAAGTATTTGATGACTACTATTTCCTACAGCATCACTGTAGCAAAATAAAAAGGTATTCTGGTGTGTATTAAGAATGCTTAGAAAGAGAAGCTCCCACTGTGATGAAGACATCCCGCATTATGATGAAGACAACCCCTGCCAGGTTTTCTGAACACGATGCCAGTGAAGTACCAGTTCTGGTATGTCTTATATCAAGATGGAAAATCTTTAGGTACAGGCCTGGGGAAGGACTGACTGTATGCATGTTACCAGAAGATAAGCATAAAGTTTAGATATACTCTTTACTAGGTTGTTCTTAAGGTGTTAAATTTTATGGCCACAGCAATTTACGAAGATTACCTAAGTTACAGATAGGTGTTGTGTGATCTGTAGAAAGAGCACCTACTAATAACATTACAGGCCACTGAAGTACTGAATTAAAATGAAAGACTTAGAAAGGGAAAGTAGGTAACAAAAAAAGTGACTATCTACAAGAAGGAAACACTTTACATAGTTAAAAAAAAGGCATTAAGAACTATAAGAAAATAAGAAAAGTTAGCATCTTACCAATATAAGCTTCAGAATCACCAATGTACATTTCAATGCAATGCCCAAGCATGGTAACGGAAAATGTATCATCTCTCCTAAGTCCAAGAGCCTGTCAAAAAAGGGGTCAGAATTTACTATGAGAAAGAGAAATATATTTATGAAATACTTATAAAAGCCTTGTTTTTCTATTTTGTGTAAGTAGTTTCACCTAAGGTAACCTGAACAGAGCAAATGTTCATGAAGAATGGCCAATTAAAGCAATAAGAGCAAATATTATACCAATATCTAAAAATACTAGTTGTTTTCATAAAATCATAAAAATATCTGACAGCAGCACCAAAGGATGTTTTGATTAAGTTTCCTTTTAAGATACCACATGGATACAAATAATATCCACACATTTTATTGGTGAAGTTCATATTTTTCTTCCATGTCATTTTAAATTTCACTGAATTAAATGGAATCAAGTACTGATGGTTGGATGTAAATTTTGTCATTTTGTCATAAATCCTTCTCCTCTGCAAGTTATTAGATATATAGATATGTTAATTCAATTTTCAACCTGGTTTAAATGTTCCAGTAGAGAAAAATGCATTTTTAATACATGCCTGCATTTATTAACTCATTAATATAAAAATTTATGACAAATAGCAAATCAATCAATAATCATCAGTTAAATATGCCTAGTACTATCTCAAATCTCAAACACAGGCTCAAAACTGTTCCTAAGTTTAATGAGTTACACATCCTATAAAATTATTTTCTCTTGCAAAGAAAAGAGTATGGAAGGAATTCTCTACTCTTTTTCTCAATTTGTCCGATGAAATTCAATTCATCCTTCATGGTTAAATTCAAATATTAAACCCCATGAAGGATTCCTTAATTCCCAAACATATCATCCCCCAACTCCACCCAGTCTGATTAAAATTCTTTTTTAGATTTCTAAAAGCACTGTTTACCCCTTCCCTGTACAGTTACCGCAGCCTATTGAGATTACTTTTGTGCAGTCTTATTTCCCCTACCAGACTGTAGGCTACCCAAATGCACAATGCCTTATTCATCTCTATATGCCCCACAACATCTTGTGCATAGAAGGTGCTTAAATATATATTTGTGGAATTAAATTTTGCAACTTTAAAATAGTAAAAAGAAAAAAAAAGAACCTAGCAAAAAGGATTTTTAAAAATTGGGTGTAGTTTAATTTTAATAATGTAAAAATTAAAGATATACCGTGTGAAAATAATCAACTGCACTTTCAAAGTTGCCCATTAGGCTGTGTATATAACCTATGGCAGAATAGGTAGAAGCATTCTGGGGAATCAACACTAAGGCTTGACGATGGTACTCTAGTGCCTCTTCATACTTTCTGTAAAAAATAAAAATAAGTTGATATTGCATACATTTTAAGAAGTCCAAAATCTCAAGTTGTATTTCTATGTTCCAAGAATACAGATTTCCAGAAGAAATGTCACATGGTATCAGTTCACTCAACCTGAACAGTATTTTCTTTGCCATTGCCACCATGGATATTTTATTGAACAGTTTGATTATTTCCTTTAACTACATCATAGGGATATAACCTAAATATATATATATATATCAGTTTATCACCGCTTTCCTCAAAAAATTTGTATTTTTGGCCTGTTCAGCTTGTTAAGATGAGTTTCACATATTTATCACTTACTATATAAAGAAATATTCTTTCATTATCCTAAAACCTTTATAGTATGTTATTTATATCTAGCATTATTTATTATTTGTACTAGCAACATAGTAAAGTGAAAAAAAGGTTTTTGAACCAGAAAGATGTTGGTTCAGCTACTGTTTCTGGCATATGTTGGCTGCCTGACCATGGAAAAACACCAAAAGGTACTGCAACTTTATATTCCAATGTTCTATACTAAAATCTACTAGGGAACAGAATTTTTATTCAATAAAAACCACTAGAAAACTAGCAAAAAAAACCCCACAAGGGTTTAGATCCACAACCCACGCCATCCATAAACCCTTAACTGGATAGCAACAAAGGATTTAAAAAATTATTATTATTATTTTACTTTTTGGTGACGCAATAGTTAAGTGTCAAGTGTTTGAGGTCAGATGTGAACTCAGGTCCTCCTAATTCCAAGGCTGGAGCTCAATCCACTATCATACCTAGCTGCCCCTAGAAATTATTTTTAAAAACTCTAAGAAAAAGGAGTATTATTTGTCTCAATTATGGACAAATAAAATCTCTAATGATAACTCAATTTAAATAATTTAATAAGTTCTTTTTGGCAAAAAAAAATTTTTTTTGCATAACAAAAATCTACAATCTCTAAAATTAAGGAAAGAAAAAACTGAGGAAAAATTGAAATAAACATATCAGATAAACGATCCTTAAGGTAACTAACACATATATCTAAGGCCAATATGACTTTTCCTAATGGAATAATGTTCAAAAGACTCAAAGAGACATTTTATAAAGAAATTAACAGATGAAGATTCGGGGAAGATGGTGGAGTAGGTCAGAAAATTTCACATTCTCAAGATTTTCCTCCACAAAAGAGATAAAATAGCACCTCTGAGCGAACTTAGATCCCTGAAAACAAATAAAAGTAGGGGCAGAAGAGGGATCCTCTTGGGACAATTGGAGAAGATCTGAAGAAAAATTCCAGGACTATTTCCTTCCTGTGAAGAGTAAACACCTCCAGGCTAGGATTGCTTCAACAGCAAGCAGCAAGCCCTGGGGTTAGTTGGTTTGAGAGGTTGCCTTGGCCCCAGCTACAGGAACTTTTACCCCAGGGACAGTGAGGGGAGTTGGGCATCTGTCCTGGAGAAGATTGAGGGAATCTCTGCTGACAGGGAATGCCAGATCCAGCTGTGCTGTGCAGAGCAGCCAAGGCAAGAAGGAACCAGCACATACATCTGTTAAGTGCAGAAGCAGTGGGGCAGGATACCAATGGCTGTGGGCACTTATAGGAGGCTGGAGGTCTTGGTTTGCATTCAAGGTCAGAAGGGAAAACTGAAGAGGATTAGAGGCCAGAGGCACCATCCCCCCAGACCCCAGGCCTAGAGGTGATTATAAAAACTAAACTATTACAAAAAAAAATGCACAGGCAAAGGAGAAAGAATACAACAACAGAGAACTACTATGGGAACAGAGAAGATTGGGTTGCGTCTTTAGAGGAGGATAATGAAGCAAAGAAACCCTCTTCTACCCCAAAGAGTCATGTCGAATGGTCACCTGCCCAAAAAGAATTCATTGAAGAACTTAAAAAGTACCTTAAAAATCAAATGAGAGAGACTGAGGAAAAACTAAAAAGAAAAATAAGAATAATATAAGAAAAACAAGATTATGAAAAGAAAGTCAACCAATTAGAAAAGGAGATCCAGAATCTTAAGCAAGAAAATGACTCCCTGAAATCAGAATTGGGCAAGGGGAAACCAGCAAAGTTATAAGAGATGAAGAAATGAAAAAACAAAATATAAAGAATGAAAAAAATAGAAAAGAATGTAAAACATCTCATAAGAAAAACAACAGGGGCAGCTAGATGGTACAGTGGATAGAGCACCAGCCCTGGAGTCAGGAAGTTCAAATCTGGCCTCAGACACTTACTTGCTGTGTGACCCTGGGCAAGTCACTTAACCCCAACTGCCTAAAAGAAAAAAAAAAAAGAAAAAGAAAAACAATGGATCTACAGAACAGATCAGTAAGAGAAAACATAATAATTGGACCACCTGAAAGTTCTGATCAAAAAAAGAATCTTGATACAGTAATACAAGAAATAATTAAAGAAAACCATCCTGAAGCATTAGAACAAGAGGGGAAAGTAGAAATAGAAAAAATCCACCAATCATCACCAGAAAGAGATACTATGAGGAAAGCTCACAGGAATATTATAATCAAATTCTAAAATCCCCAGATCAAGGACAAAATATTACCAGCAACAAGAAAAAAAATTTATATAAATACGGTGGTGCCACAATTAGAATCATACAACACCTAGCAGTAGTGACACTAAAAGATCATAAGTCTTGGAATACTATATACTGAAGAGCAAAAGAACTGGGCTCCCAGCTGAAAATATCACACCCAGCAAAGCTAAGCATAATTCTAAATGAAAAAAAAAAATGGACATTTGATCAATTGTCAGATTTTCAGGTCGTTGTTTAAAAAAACAAAAAAAACCAACCGTGAACTCAATAGAAGATGTAACATACAAGAGCCAAGAGAAATATAAGGTACATACCAATGACCAACTACAAGGGACTAAATAAGGATAGAATGTTTACCTTTTATGTATGAAAAATGTAAAACCTATGTCTAAGATTGTTACTCGTAATTAGGTAACTTATAAGGAACGTTGGGGTAGACCTGAGTATGATATGACTTCAAAATGTAGAACCATTCAAGTATAGCTAAAAGAGTAATTATCTTTTACAAAGAAGGTACAAGAGGAAGAACCAATACAGAGGAATTAGATGGGGGAGCAGGGTTGTTAGTTCTGAAAACCTACTCTCATTGGGAATGGGTTTTAAGAGAGGAAAATACACATATACTTAGAAGAGTATAAAATCTTCTAAATTTAGAAAGAAAACTCTAAGGAGATAGGGAAGGGGAGAGGATAAAGGAGGGATCTTTACAGGGGAGGGTGTGGGAATAGGTTAAAAGGGGGATATAGAAGGGGTTTAGATTTAGGGGAATGGGAGGATAAGGAAGGGATTGCTGGAGTCGGGGTAGGTTAAGTAATAGGAACAAGTAAAGTAGAGGAGTTAGGAAAAAAGAAGTATGCACAAACAAACACAAAGATCAGGACTCTAGTCTAGTCCTAATCTCTTAGGGAAAATATATGTTTATATATTTTTGTGTGTGTGTGTATACATATATATTTGTGTGTGTGTATGTATATATATATGTACATGTATATATATATATGTATATGTATGCATATATCAATACCTATATATAAATATATCCAATGCTCAATTGTAGCCTTGGGGTAGTGGGTAGGCGGGAGAGAGGGGAAAAAAGAACAAAGTAAAAAGTGTACAGCAGAGAACCAAAAAAAAAACCTACAAGAATGCAAAGAAAAGATGGACAGCTTTCAACAAAATGTGCAGTATTTAATATATAGATTTTCTTGAAATCAAAAGTTATTGCTATATATTCTGAATCCTCTCCTGTGTTCTGCTGTGCACAGGACATTTTTTAAATTTTTTCTTATTTTATATTTAAGTTTCTAATGTTTCTTTTTCTTTTCTTATTATGTATTTAAGTTTTAGTTATTTGTCTAAAATAAAAATTAAAAAAAAAATTTAACAGGGATTGAATAGGAAACATGGACTGTACTACCTAGAGTACTCAGAAGTTAGTGATTTGCTCTGTCACAGAGCTTTCATGTGTTTGAGGAGGAACTTGAATCCAAGTTTTCCTGATGCCAAGCCCAGATTAATATCTCCACTATGTCAGGGTGCCTCTCCAATGGAAGAAGGAAATTAAAATGGTTAATGACCACATGAAAACTGTCAAACTCCCTAGTACAAAAAAATGCAAATAAAGATAACCTTAAGGTGCTATCTTCTTCTACCTCCTAGAGTGACAAATATCTATATCTACAAATATATACAAATAAAATCTAATATGGGCAAGGCTGCCAAGGAAGAGACACTCGCATACATAGTTGGTGAGCCGGGCAGTATGCAGGAAGAATTATACACTCAAACCTTTTGTCCCAGTATTTGCACTGCAAGGACTATTATTCAAAAAGAAATCGTAAAAAGGAAAAAAAAAATATTCTTAGCTGCCCCATTAATAGGCAAAAACTGTAAACAATCTGTATGTCTTAAAAAATTAGAGAATGGCTAAATTATGGTATATTGATCTAAGGCAATACAGAACCATCAAAATAAACAGGAAGTGTTTTCTAAGGAAACATGGAAAAACCTATATAAAGTGATTCAGAATGAAATCAGAAGAACTAGAACTGTATACACATACAATGACAACTACATACTTTTTTTTTTTAAAGGAAAGCAAGTAGGGCCAAAAGTTATAATTTCAAATTGACTTGGAAGGGAACACAAAATGAAAGTATTTTTTGCTATTTGTTAATTCCTTTGGTTCAGCCTTGTTACAGGATAAGGGATTTGGCTATGATTTTGCCCCTTGTTTTGTGAATTTGTCATTAAGTTTATAATAAAGTTCTTAAAAAGAAAATTGGTTATCTCTGGTTCACTGTCTTTATCAATAGTTATCTCTGTTGTTAAAATACCAACAGAGATGTTTTTGAAGTGATCTAGGTGTGCTTAATAGTATACTTTACACTTGTAATTTGAAGGCTTAGACATAAGTGATACCTTCATGTGGAATAAAAACATTAAAATCTGTATACAATCCAGAGAATTTATTTTAATTCACAATGGGTCCTATGTTCTACTTTATCACTTACTTAAGTTTTCTGCATACATGGCCCAAGTTGTTCAACAAAGGTTCCCATTTGTCAACTGTTACCTACAAAACAATTTGTCGTTAAAATGATTATTTCATACTTTCCAACTAGATTTGTACATATTTAATTACTTCACAGATAATACATACTTGCTATTTAATTACCACAAAATAATGAGATGTCAAATCAAAGCATACTGAAAACTCAAGTTCCTTTCATTTATATTTTATGTTAACTTAATGAAGTTTAATGACAAAAAAAAAACAAGCACTGTTTTCTCCTGTTTTGGCATTTGATGCAAAACAAATTTTAAAGTTTATACATCACAAAGTGTAACCCTCAGAATATGATCTGTACCTATGGTCACATGCAGATTGCTAGAATTACTGTGGTTTGGGAAAGACTCAAAACCAGAACAAAAAGTGGAAGTTATAAACAAGTGGGATAGTAATGCAGATGTGAAGGAGGAACTCAAAGTGGAGTCAAACAGAGTGGGCAGGAATGAAAGGAGGTACAGTTCAGGAAGTCTAGTATGAATAACATGCATAATCCTTGATTCTGAGAGCTAACAAAGGCTAAAATTGTTATTTTTTTTAAAAAATAGTGACTCTATTAAATTGTTGCTTCAGTGCCTATACCTTTACTAACCTAAAAAAAATTAATGCATATTCAAAGCATACATCTAAATGCATAGAGCAGTATTTTCATAAAGCAGTATATGGTTTAATATTTCAAACATTAAAAATTCTAAAGTTGTTATTAGAAAGATATGAAATTATAGCAGTGCTCCACTCTCCTCAAGACAGTACTAAGTATGAGACTCAATAATATTCTTCCGCTTCAGAAATGGAACCTGCTGAGTTTAGGAGCTAATGATGCCATTAATAACTCTCTTCAACCAAAGATGCAGTTATTTTAAGTCTTCTTAATCAGGAGGATTATTACACCAAGACTGGAAATGCCAAAGCTTCCTGTAATCACTCAATAGGCTCCAAATGACTGGAACAGCAAGATGAATGGCTATCCTGATACCACAAGGCAACTTACACCTGCTCTCTTAAATGGTCACTAAATCAGACAATATCAATTATTAAGTGAGAGGGACATAAGTTAAATACATGACTGCTCAAACAATTTTTAAAAGCTTTTTAATAATGACAATTATTACATTAACTTTGAGAGGGCAGAGACTGCTGCAATTTAACTTTTTCTGCAGTGTCTTTTGTAATTAGGTATTTATATAATGGTGACTAAGTAAATACCTCATTTCCAATGGCTTTAATTTTTTCTAATGCATCAAGAAACCATTTTTCAGCTGTTTTCCAGCTAAAGTAAAGGAAAAAAGGCAATTAAGTTATTCCAAATAAACAATTATGTACATAAACAGCTGATAAATATTTCCCAGTAACACTATAAAAATTTGAAATAATATACCTTTACTAGCAACCTGATTTAAATTTACCAAAGATAAACATATCTGGCCATCGATCTCACAGTAAAGGCCAGATGATTTTTTTCATTTAACACAATGTATACTGATGTTTTTAAAAAATGAAAACTAGAAATATAATGCTGAAGAGATAATAATTTAGTGAATATGAATTTGAGAATATTATATCTTTTCTTTGAATAGTTTATAAAATATTTATTTTATTAGAGATAACAGTAAAATCATAATAAATTAGAATAATCAAAGATTGTGCTGTTTTGATTAGCTGCATTTTCTATTCATCTCAGGGTTGATCAAGAAAGGAATCCTTTGTTTTAACCAAAAATTTCTCTAAAATGTATTATTTACAGTTCAATGTGTAAACACAGTACAATTAACATAATCAAAGTTATCCTGGATGACTGAATTGTGCAGTACTTCTGAGTCAACATTTTGATGTTGGCTGATAAGTGAATAGTACTTTCAGGGTTAAACAAATAGGCAATTGGGTTAATATGAGGCCCCAAAACTATTATTTTTAGACTGAATGTATGATGCCAGCTTGCTTTCTGTCTTGTCTTTCTTTTACAAGTGAAATGCAGAATAAAGATTACACTTAATGAAGAATTAGATTAATTTCTATTTGATCAAGGTTTTGATGTATTTAGGAAAAAAACTCAGGCTGATGCCACTTGTTTTTCTTTATGTACTTACTCTCCATTTTGAAATGCAACCACTCCAACCTCATGCATAACAAAAGGATCTTCAGGTGCGATACTTAGAGCTTGGCTGAAAAATCTTTCAGCCAACTTTGAATTATTGGTCAAACCATATTCCAATCCAATATACAGCATTGGTAAGTGACACCTAAAACAATGTTAAAATCACACATTTAATTGAATCAATGCAACAACTTAATAACCTAACAGAAATTCACCTACACGATCTTTTCTTAAAAAATAATTCAAATACCAAACCAGTAACTAGGTATTTCAATCTATAATGAGTCTTGATAGTTTATCAAACAGCCTGCTGATCCTCCTAATACTTGTTTCATCCTATCTTACATTAAGATACAAACATTATTAAATTTCTCCTTATTTTCCATTACTCCTTAATATAACACATCTACAAGATTAGGCTGTAACTCAACTTACGACATCTTGAACAAGCCACATTCATTTCTATTTCTGTGACTTTGCTCTAGAATATCTCATTTCCTCTAGACAGCTGATCTATAGCTTCACTGTTCAAGTTTTCTTCGTGAAGTATTCATATCTTCCCTTTTTCTAGAAAGTCCTTCCTTTTCCAGCTAACTCCCACCTCTCTCCTTATTTTCCAAACTTCTTAAAAGAACAGCTTATTTTTTTTCCATTCATTCATTTTTGACCCTCTCCTAGTATAAGTTCCATCTCCAACATGGCAGTTCTGCGCTCATTCTTTAATGTGCCATCCCATGATCCCTTCTTTGTTCACTCTACATTCCCCCAGCAATCTCATGACTTTATCACTTCTAAGCCCATTACTTTCACACTTTTATCTTGAACCTTGAACTCTTGAGCTTCTTTTAGGGCCGAATTTCCAACTATTTGTCAAACATTTTTGCCTGAACATCCTCCCAGCACCTGAAACTCCACATGGCTAGAAACTAAACTTATTCCCTACTACTCCCAGCCCTGAATGTTCCACTGTTCCCTTCTTGGGGACATATCAATGAAAGTGGACAAGTGAATCCTTCCTGCTCTTGGTCTTGCTCGCTATTTCTTATAAAAGGAGAGATACCGGAACTGTGTGTAGAGCTGAAAGGAACCTCAGAGATCGTGCAGCCAATCCCTCATTATAGACGAGGAAACCAAGGCCCAGAAATGTCACTCCCTGCCAGAGGGAGTGAGCATCAGTTAGTGCTGAACTGAGGTCCTCCAATTCTAAATTTACTGCATTTTCTCCTACACCACAGCAGCAGAGATGCCTGCCAAACCCTAAGCACTGGCAAGGAAGATTTCCCTAATCAGCAGCCTTCTTCATTCCACTGGGGTTTATCTTATGGATCATAAGCTACTACGTAATAGTTTAGTACCTAAACAATGACATGTAGTTCTTTAAGAAAACCATTTAATTTCTTCATTAAAGTGCTCAGTTTGCTTGTCACATACCCTTTCATCAGCTGTGCTGCTGTGAAGTAAGCTGCCATTGCTTGATCATGCTCACTCTCAACTGCAAATGAATGTCCATAAGCTATCCATGCAGGTCCATAGGTTCTTTCAAGTGTTGTGGCTTTACTAAAATAAATTCATTAAATTAGTATAAATTTGTCAATTCACTGGTAACTAGACAAAGACCGCAAAAACCCCTATTACTTATAGGATAAAATAAAAACTCTTCAGCCAGCTACTTAATGTCCTTCAAAATCTGTATCTAGTCTACCTTTATAACTTCCCCTTCACATATTCTCTGTTCCAAATGAACTGTATTATCTGATCTTCCTTGATCTCATCCTAACATCTCTCTGCCTCTATGCCTTAAGGCAGGAATGTTCTCTACCTTCATCTTCAACTTGAAATTCTTTCCTTTTTAAAACAGTTTAAGTGCCACTGTTAACATGAGCTGCTGTTCAGTTATAGTCGATTCTTTGTGACCCCATTTGGGGTTTTCTTGGCAAAGATACTGTAGCGATTTGCTATTTCCTTTTCCAGCCCATTTCACAGATGAGGAAACTGAGGTAAATAGGGTTAAATGACTTGCCCAGAGTCACACAGCCAATAAGCATTTGAGGTCGGATTTGAATTCAGGTTTTCCTGACTCCAGGCCCACTACTGCACCTAGCTGCCCATTAACACGAGACTACAATAAAAACAAAAGTTGATATTTAAAGTCCTTCTATTCCTGTGGTTCTCAACCTTTTCTGTGTCATGAACTCTTTTGGCAGTCTGATGAAGGCTATAGGTGCCACAGAATGTTTTTAAATGCATAAAATATAAAAATTGTGCCTCATTTTAAAATAAAAATGAAAGGAATGCAAAGAAAACCAAGTATATTGAAATATTTTTTCAAAATATCAGGGGCAGCGAGGTGGCACAGTGGATAGAGCACCGGCCCTGAAGTCAGGAGGACCTGAGTTCAAATCCGGCCTCAGACCAAATGCTTGACGCGTACTAGCTGTGTGACCTTGGGCAAGTCACTTAACCCCAAATGCCTTACCAAAAAACAAAAACAAAAACAAAAAAATATCAAAATAATTTTATAAAAACAAGTTTGCAGACCCTAGGTTAAGAGTCCATACCAAAGAAGTAATTAATGTAAGAGAAAAAAACTCATTTATTTGAGTTTCACTCATTTTGCATTTATAATTATTCTTTTAAACTGAGAAAATTTCACTAAATAAATTAAAACATGATTTTTGGAGAGTATTTCAACTACTAAAATTTTTAAGGATTCCAGCTGAATGATTTAGCGCACTTAATAAACTATCAAGTGTTTCTACATGTTTAAAGTAGCAACAGTTATTTCACAGTATGATATTACTGGACAATGGAAGTATTAGTAAGTTGTTTTTTTTTTTAAGATATTCTTAAACACGTTCACTAAGACATTCAGATTGATCTTTCTTTTTTAAAATTTAATTTAAAATTTTTTTATTTTCAGTTCTCTCCCTCCCCTACCCACTGGGAAGGCAAGAAATGATACCCATTACACATATGAACTATTTAAAAAAATTTTCGTGGCTTTTCTCTTATTTCAATTAAGTCTGTTCTATTCCTACTACTCTGACAAGTTGTATTAATCAAAATAGAGGCCACCCTCAAATACAGGTTTATAGAATCCTTAGATTTTAAGCTGGAAGGGACCTCAAGAGGCCACCTAACTCAACTTCCTTACTTTACAGATAAGGAAACTAAGTTAAGTGATATGTCTGTGATCATAATGCTAGTAAGAAGAGGTAGGATGTGAGCACAAGTCCTTTATTATAGAGTCAGTCCTTTCCATTGTATAACTTTGACTTCTTAGGTCATAACCTAATTTAACCTCAATTTAAATTGAGATTTCCTTGGAAGAAAAGAAATATGTAGGTACACACTATGGAAATGCCATTTTTATCCATATCCAAATTTTATACAAATGAAATCTGGGGGGAAAAGTACAATCTTTAATTATGTCACTATGGTTTTAAAGCTAAAGCCCAGAATTGTGTCAAAACCAGAGATGAATACAAATCAATGTTTGAATACTGGCTTTTGTTGAGCCATCTCCAGGTACTTGACCCATTCATTTCATTCCTTATAAACAATGAGCAGCTTACTGGTGGGGCTGGATTGGGAGAAAAAGCAGATGCAAGTACACTGAAGTGGAGGATGGGAAAGAGACTCACCTGGACTACATATGTACCTGTATTATAAAGAGCTCTCTATAATCTGTAGACCATTGGTAAAGAGAAGGCCTACTGCAGAGGAGTGACAAGGGGGACCACTGGGCATGTAGCATCACAGGATCATAGAAAAAAGGTAGGTAAAGATACAATGTGAGCCTGAATGAGATGATCAGAGATCTAGAGCTGAAAAAGGGCCTTGGAAGACATGGAACCCAACCCCTCACTTTATAGATAAGAAAAATGAGAACAAAAGTTATCTTGGAAGGAATGTCATACATTTTTATTTTTTCAGTTTTTTCATTCCAGAATGTTACAGGGCTCATGCATATAGTTTACTGACCCACAGAAATGTAGGATTAAATAGTCTTGATATACCATGAATTCCATTTTTGGACAGCTCTATGGGGAAGTTTTTCCTTATTTTGGAGATAAAGACTGCCTCAGTAAAAGCTAGAATTTTGGGAATGTAAGTATATCTAAATAAACACATATGTATATAAGCACACATACACATATATCTATGTACATACAACACATTTCATACACATGCACAAGTTACACACACACACACACACACACACACACAATTTTATATACATATACACACCTTTTTGATGTAGCTCATATAAAGAGACTAGGGAGAGGGACCAGACTTGTGATTTCACTTATTCGGGTTTCTGGTGAGGAATTTCCTTTACCAACACAGGTTTACATCTTTTATGCAACTTATAATCTTAGAATGTTGTTTAGAGCACCAAAATGTTATATGACTTGCCCAGGGTCACTGAGCCAGTATTTGTTAGAAGCAGGACTTGAACTCAGGTCTTCCTAGCCCTAAGGCCAATGTTCTATTCATCATGTCCCTCTGCCTCTTTTCCTATATATATATATATATATATATACTTATATAACAGGGGTAGAGTTAACAAAAAGTGAATGAGCTACCTCAAGGAGTACAGCAAGTCGTCTGTCACTGGATAACCATTTGTCAGGGATGGCTGTCACTAAGATTCATGCAATGGAAAAGATTAGATAAAATAACTAACGAGGATACCCTTTAACATTGCAGTTCTATGATTTTAATTCATCCCTGTTTCAAGGCAAAACCACAATTAAACCATTCTAGATTAATGAACACCAGACCCATTAGATTATAAGTTCCCTGAGGGCAGGGATTATCTTTTGCCTCATTTTGTATCATCAGTGCTTAACACAGTGCCTAGCACATAGTTGGCAGTTAGTAAGTGTTTACTGATTGACTAATTTAATAACTTACCAGAAATTTCCTTCTATGTCCAAATTAAGCTACTTCAATTGCAATTAGAGTTCATTTTTTTTCTTGTTCTCTTTTGGGGGAAGTAGGCATGGGACAGATAGAAAGAGGGTGGATGTGCACTGCTGAATACATTCTTTGAATAATGTTTCTTTGTATAATCCATATCTTTTCATAGCCTATCCATTTATTTTGGTTGGTTATATGGTATTAATGAGGACAAGGCTGCGATATGGAGTTCTAACAAGAGGAAAATTATTCTAACCATATATTTCATCCTTAATCTTAACCACTTAGGAGAATCAATGTAGTACAAATCAACAGTAGGGTTTAATCTAATCCAACTCAATAATCATTTATTAAGCACTTACTTTATGCAGTGCTCATACTAAGCAATGGGTACACAAAAATAAGACAGTCCTTGCCCTGAAGGAGTTTATGACTTTTATGGACAAGGATGGCAAATTTTGCATGGGCACAAATAAATAATGCAATGTAGAATATGTTGAGAGTAAAAGTAATAGCTCAAAGTTTTCCTGGAAATTTGAAGAAAAAAGGTCAGTTCAAGTTGGATGGGATTAAAGGAAGACTTCACGTGAAGAGGAAGCATCTGAATAGGGCCAAGAAGGGGAAGGAGCTCAAAAGGGATTCTGAGCAGAGGGTTGTTCTGGTGAGGGTAGTACATTACAGGAATGGGGAAAAGGCATAGAGATTTGATAGGGAATGAGAACAAAAAACAGGGGTTAGTTCAGTTTGCTTGAAGAGAAAGTGTATGAATAATAGCTTGGCATTTATACAGACCTTTAAGGTTTTACAAAGAACTTTACATATGCTGACACATTTAATTGTCAAAATAACCCAATCCTCATTTTACAGGTGAGAAAACTGAGGTTCAGAAAAGTTAAATGACTTGCCAGGGTCATACAACTAGAATTCAAAATCTGGTCCTTCTGACTCCAAGTTCAACCAATTCTCTCTCTTTATACATATGCTGGGCCAGGAGAAGGGAAGGGATGTGAAATAAGTTAGAAAAGTAGGACAAAGTAGGAATGTAGAGTACCTTGCCGGTCAGAATAAGAAATGTGAATTTTATTTAGTAAGCAATGGGGAAAACCACTGGGGATTTTTGAGCAGAGACATTATAGAATCAAAGCATTTGTTAGGAAAATTACTCAAGTGACAAATATGAAGGCTACACTTTTGAGGGGAGAAGCAAGAAGTGAGAAGATAGACAGACTAGTTAGGAGGCATATTAGTCCAAGAGCAGATGTTAGTCCTAGATCTTGAACCAGGGTGGTAGAAATAGAACAGAAATAAGAGGAGTCATTGAATATTGTGGAAAAGAATCAATGGCAATCAGATGGACTTGTGGGAGGCAGTGACTTTTGGAAAGAGTCAACTCTACGGTTTGGAGGTTGGGTGCTGATACAATGAGCAGAAGAGGTAAAGCTGACATCTCAATGTATGTGTCATATTAATGGTGGTTTAATAATCCATTCGCATATGAATGACAGAACTTCTAATACTGGCTCATATTATTCTGTTTTTTAATCTATGCAGCAAGGCAAAGTGGCTGGAGTTAGCCTTGGGGTCAGAAAGACTTGGATTCAAGATCTGTTTCAAACACACTGAAGCTATGTGATCACAAAGAAGTTGCTTAATCTCTCAGTATTTCTGGCAACTCTCTAAGATGGTAAGTTACAGTTAAGCTGCACTGGTGGATGTAGTTTCAACAGGATCAGTTATTCCATATACTGATGACACCACAGGGCCAGACACAGCCCAAAACCTTCCACGAAAGATCCTTGAGAGGAAGGACCATATTATCTATTTTTTTATCCTCCACAGTGTGCAGGCAATGTGCTAAGAAGATACTCAATAACTGTTGAATTAAATTTTCATTCTTTCAAACTGCTCTTTGAGCACTTAATTGCATTAAGAAAGATGCAGCAATAAATACTTTCCTTGAAAAGATACCTATGGAGAGATTTACAGCCAAGGTGGCTGCTTGAAGGAGAGGCAGGCCATCTATCTCCTATAAACCTTCTCCAGCAAAACTCTTAAGTTTGAATTAGAATAAATAATGATTAAGGATCTGATGTGAAACTACAGTGATATCTTCCATCCCAGAGCTATAACAGGGTTTAGTGAGAAGCCTATGGGCAGTAGAAAAGGAGCTCCACCAACAGGGCTAGTGCCAGTGTAACCAGAGATAGGACAGGGGTAGCCTCTAAGGCCCTGCATCTGGAGGAAGCAAGAGTGGAAGGTTTCCCTGAAAAAGTCCCAGGGTATTCAGAAAGCCACAGGGTGGGGACCTTAAAAGCCTGCAGAAATTCAGTAAGTAGCACCCAGTATGGTGCTACAGCACTCAGGAAAGTCTAGGCTAAAGGACTCTGAGGTCCTCTTCTGAGATGCCAGAGAGGGGCCCTGGATATCTCTGAAACTCACAGATCCAGGGGGGTTAATCACTAAGAAGTAGAACCCAGGGCAAGATGAAGCAGGGTAGACCACCTAGTGCAAAAGTGCAGCAAGGTCAACAAAGCTTGGTCCTGTCGCAGAGCCCCAATTCAGAAACTAAAGTTGGAAGAATTAGTAAACTAAAAAAAAATCACTCATTACAAAAAAATTATTGCAAACCTAATTCCACAACAACTGCAAACAGACTGAAAGAAAAAAATTAATTTCCCTCAAGGACTACATGAATACTTAGCAGAAATGGAGCAAGAGATAAAAAACAAAATAAAAGTTCTGGAAAAAAGACTGTAAGGAGAGTAAGTATTTAGAAGACAAAATGATAAATCTTACCCAAAAAATGGAATCCATGAAAACTAGAACTAGAAAACTAGAACAAACAGAAATCAATGAGTCATGGAAAAGGAAGGCCTATTAGAACACAATCATAAATTATAAAAAGAAAAAAAAAGTATCTGATACTGAAAATGAAACAATGGCCCTTAAAACAAGGAGAGATAATATAAAAATCATTGGACTCCCCTAAAGACAAGTTTAAAAAAAAAATCACATTTCAAGAAAACATGAATGACAACTGCCCAGTTCTACTGGAACCAGAGGGCAAAATAAATATAAGAATCTAAACACCCTCCGAAAGGAACTCAAAAGGGAAAAGTCCCAGGAATATCAAAATCAAAATCCAGAGCTCCCACCTCAAAGAAGAAATACCATAACCTTCTAGAAAGAAACAGTTCAAGTAATGAGAAGCCACAGTCAGTTATCACATAAGACCTGGCAGCTTCAACAACCACAAAAACAACTAAAGATCTTAGAACACAATATTTGAAAAGGCAAAACATAATAGGCTTTACATAATTCATATTATGCAAATTTGACAACTGAAAGTTGATGGGGGAGCAGCTCTGGCTTTGGTTCTGGTGGCAGCAACACTGGTGCAGCCCTGTGCCAGGGGTCCTCCTCTTCAGGCAATGAAGTGGCTTGGGCCGAGGGGGCCCCATGCACTGAAGACACTCTGGGCTTGCAAGGCCACAAAGCTGTAGAGGGGGAGGGGAAAATTCCAAGACGGAGGAGGATGTCTGTGAAATACCCACTTACATTAAGCAAGAACTGGATGTAATACAGGCTTATGTCAGGTTTACATATATATTATAGGCTTATATAATTATATATATTAAGCTTATATATATTATATTCAGCAAAGCTGAATATAATCCTATGGGGAAAATGGGCTTGTAATGGAACAGAAGACTTATAATAAGCATTTCTGATGACATGACCAGAGCTGAATCTGAATTTTAAAATGCAAACACAAGAGTCTAGAGAAGCCTAGAAAGGTAAATTTATTTGAGGAATTGGAAGAATGACATAATAGTAATATTATAATAGAAAGAGAAGAAACAGGTGTCTCATTGGAATTCTAACGTCTTCAAAGGGTACTGATGAAGTTAAGTAAGAGAAACTGAGACCCTAGGGGTGGACTGGTTCTGTTCTGAAGGTTTTAAGAGAGGAAAGAGAACAGTGTAAAAAGAGGTAGAATACAATAGTGTAGAAAATAAGAAGGGTTGAAACTTTCTACTTCTCATAATTGTAACAAATGAGAAGAATATGCGACTATGGAGGAAGAGAGTAGGCATCAGATGAACTTCACTCCTTTGTAAAATGGACAAATGAGGATTGAACACACAAGTAGGTGTAGAAATAAAACTCAACAGGGAATCAAGTGGGGATAGAGAGGAGAGGGTTAAGAAGGAAGCTAATATCAGGGAGGGAATAGCCATGTGTAAAATAAACTTCCCAATCCTGAAGAACATATTAGGGGAAGGGGAACCTCTTGGCCTGAACAAACTGGGGTAATGTTATTGTACCTTAACAAATTATGAAAGATACTATTTCAGAGAATCCTGGGTAATATGGCCTCACACAGATTGAATGTGAGCAGGACTGGGAGAACAATTTATACAAAGACAAAACCTTGTAAAGAAAAATAACTGAAATACTTAAGAACTCTGATTAACACGATAATCAATGCAATGCCCCCAGAGAGCCTATATGATGAAGCATGTTACCTATCTCTTGATGTGACAAAACAAGATGCAGAAAAGACACATATTTTAGGACATGGCTACTGGGTGGATTCATTTTGCTCAAGCATATTTATCTGTTACAATTATCCCTCCTTTCTTTCACTCAGTTAATAGGCGAGGGGGGGAGTGGGGAAGGAAGAGGCAGGTTAGCAATAGTAATGTAAATAAAAAATGGGATCATTGTAACATTTTAAAAAAATGCACAAAAGAGAACAGAAAGAAGTTCAGAAAGAAGAACAGAAAAGCAGGAGAGTTCTGACAGTTAACAGTTATATACTTTAAAAAAGAAAGTGGCGTCAAATGAAGATTCAGTTTCATATAGAATTTTTTTCTTCTGCTGTATTATGACAATGCAATGTTAGTGTTTAAATTTAAAATTAAAAAAAAAAGATACCTGTCAACTTTGCCAAGAGTAGACATGAACATAAACCCATACCTGAGATATCTTCTGGCATGTTCATTTTTGTGTCCAACCATTAGATAATAACATCCTACTGCAAACCAAGATACCTAAACAAATTCAAAATTAACCATTACCAAAGATAGAACAGATCTACAATACAAATCTAAACAATTCAATACAAGCACAAATTGAATCCTATTTTCTCATACTAAAGTTACATCCTATTTCTAAGTTAAAATATCTGTATCAGAACTTGTTTGCCAGGTATGAAGTTTTTTTTTTAAATAAATTATTCATTTTTAGTTTTCAACATTCACTTCCACAAGATTTTGAGCTTTAAATTTTCTCCTCCTCCTTCTCCTCTCCCCTCTCCAAGATGGCATGTAATCTGATATAGACTCTTATACATTCATATTAAGCATATTTTCACATTAGTCATGCTGTATAGAAGAATCAGAACTAATGGGAGGAACTATGAGAAAGAAGAAATAAAACAAAACAACAAAACAAAAGGAGAGCAAACAGTATGTTTCCATCTGCATTCCGACTCCATGGTTCTTTTTCTGAATGTGTAGAACATTTTCTATCACGAGTCTTTTGGAGTTGTTTTAGATCCTTGCATTGCTGAGAAGAGCTAAGTCTAACAAAGTCAGTCATCACACAATGTGGCTGTTACTGTGTATAATGTTCTCCCAGTTCTGCTCATTTCAATCAGCATCAGTTCATATAAGTCTTTCCAGGATTTTCTGAAGTCTACCCGCTCATCATTTCTTATAGCACAATAGTATTCCATTTCATTCATATCAGGTATGAAGTTTTGATAAAAAGATGGCAGAGTAATCTGCTGGTCCACATTTCCTTCCTAGCCTGGCCTGACTCAAGCATCATCATATCTCTCTACAGAAAAAAGGAGAGAGCCTAAAGACTTCACTGTTTTGACATTAACTTATATTGTAATGGCATCCTGACCCCCACTGCTTACCTTCCCTGTTTTGAACCTTCTTTCAACTTGTGATTCTGGCCTTGGGATTCTAGTTCTAATTTGATTAACTTCTCTACTGATTCCAACCTTGACTATATCCTGAGGTTGTTTGCTACCGCATTACCTTTTTCTGTAACTCTGACTTCTGGTTCCTGACAGATAGTGATCCCTAAGCCCCTATATTTGAAGTGCTCTGTCCTAAAATTCCTTTTTATTCCCCCGGCCCTCAAATCTTATCTCCAACCCTTTGAGGCTTCTAATTGGTAAATTGTTGTTTTAGCATGCCAAGTTGTATTTTTATGGACTGCTTCACTTTTTGTGAAGCAGTTAATGCAGTACTAAAGGATTAACTTAAAACCAATGAGTAGTTAGGAAACGAGACAATCTGGCTCAAAACTTTATTCCGAAAGAAAGAATTACAATTTGCTCAATTATAAATTTAAGTTTTTCTAACCATAAGTTGTAAAATTTGAACATAGTTCAATTGTAAAAACTGTAGACACATACATATACTTACAGGATTACTAGGGTATAAATCCACCAATTTATGAGAGAGATAGAATAGCTCTGTATAGAAAAAAAGAAAATTATTCATGTCAAATATTAAAATATATTTAAGTACTTTCCTCCTTATTACTAAACATACTTCATATTAAAATACCATATTGGTACAAATATAGGCCATTCCCTAAAATAAGACCTCATTAAAAGGAAAAAAAAATTACATAGGTTTAGAATGATAAATAATTACAAATAATTAGTTACCTTATTAAAAAGATTAAGTTGGATGATTTGAAGGGAGGAAAGCAGATTTACTTGTAGGCTGGAATTGCTTCCCCCTAGGTGGAGAGGAGAGGCCCCAAGACCTGATAGCTGTAGTAGGCAGGTACCACAGATGAATCAAAAGACCAGCATATGGGCAGAGGAATAATCAATCCACAAAGCATTTGTTAAACAGCTACTATGTTCCAGGCACTGTACCAAGAAAAGTTTAGCACGAAAATTCCAAATTCAATTCCTAGCTCTTGCCACAGCAGTAAAGAGATAGGAAAAACAAAATCCAATCAAAGAACTCAGGTTCTTTAAAAGGAAGTTAGGAAGAGAAGCATGGCCTATATTTGTACAAATAGGATACATTGTTTTTATGGGAAACAAAACTCTACATTAGTAAAATAGAAAGTCTTAATCTTCACTTCTAGGTATGCTTTACATTTACCAATGAAATGCAAAAACTCCTTCAAGGTAAACAGCTTGTAAAAAGCATACAACAATCACTGCCTAAAGAAAATAGAAATGGACACATATTCAAGCTAATTTACTATGTTTAATGGGTTATTACAAAGTTCCTCAATTAAAAGGCACTCATTTCTAAAAAGGACCAATTGGGGAAAAAATATTAATTGCAAATATTACAGATTAAAAACTTATGGTCCAAAATACATAAAGAAACTGTTATAAAATAATGATTCATAATGGTTTTACTTTCTAGTCCACAATGTGTAAATGGTCAAAGGATATGAACAATTTCCAAAAAGAGGAAATAATCTGTTAATAATCACTTCATAAAAGTCTCATAGAATATTTCTGGAGAATAAAATGGTAATATTAAGTAAAAGTTATAAAAATAATCATACTCTTTCACCTCATATTCTACTGCTGGAAATACACCCCGACAGTGTTAAGAAAACGAACGATTTTTTGTTCAGAAGTGTTCATAGCAATTATACAAAAACAGAAGCAATCAAAATGTTCATTAACAGGGGACAGAGTTGAGCAAACTATGATACGTTAATATAACAGACCACAATAATTTAAATTAAAGTGGAAAAGTTTATACAAGTAATGTGAAAATTTCTTCACAAAAATACAAAGCAAAAAATTGTAGACCCAAAAGAACTAATTATCATCAATGAGAAAAAGTGAGACTGAACAAAGAATCCTAATGGGTACTTGGATCAAAGGACTCAAAATATGCTTTGACACTTTATGCTGAAATTAACTTAAATGTCAGTAAGTTACTAAGCAAGGTTACCTTTCTGGATAAAACAACAAACAAAAAGATAAAATAAAAGGCATTAATTTCTAATAAATTAGAAGCCTTGAGAGTAGAGATTGTTTTATTCATGTTAGAATCCTCAGGGCCTATCGCAATGGTTGGTATATAGAAGGCATTTAATAAATGCTGATTGATTATGGATCATACTTAAATATGCGCCATCAAGCTTGATGATATAAAATCAAAGATTATTTCACAGTGAACTATTTTGTCCCACAATTTCATCTATACACTCTTTTTGTATAGGAGTAAGACATTTAGATTACATGGAATATATAATGATCGCTGATATAACTTTTTAAAGTTTGCAAAGCAATTTAAATTTGTTATTTCATGTGCTCTTCACATAACCCTTTAAGGTAGGTATTATTTTTTTCTTTAAATAGTATTCTACTTTTTCCCCAATTATATATCTAGAAAATTTTTAACATTTATTTTTTACAAGATTTTGAGTTTCAAATTTTTCTCCCTCCCTCCTTCCCCTCCCGTTTTGAAAATGGTAGGCAGTTTGACATAGTGTATACATGTGCTATCACATAAAATCTATTTCCGTATTTGTCACAGTTGCAGAAGAAAAAACAGATCAAAAGAAAAAAAAAACAAGAAAGAACAAAGTAAGTGAAAGAAATATGCTTCTGTTTGCATTCAGAGTCCACCAGTTCTTTATTTGGATATGGATAGCATTTTCCTTCTTGTGTCCTTTGCACTTGTCTTGCATTATTGTGCTGCTGAGAAGAGCTGAATCATTCATAGTTGATCATCCTACAATGTTGCTGATACTGTATATAATGTTTTCCTGATTCTGCTCATTTCATTTTGCATCAGTTTGTACAAGTCTTTCCAGTTTTTCTGAAAGCTGCCTGTTTATTATGTCTTATTGCATAATAGTATTCCACTACATTCATATACCACAGTTTGTTCAGCCATTCCCCAACTGATGGGCATCCCTTCAATTTCCAATTCTTTGACACCACAAAAAGAGCTGCTACAAATATTTTTGTACATGTGGGTCCTTTTCCCTTTTTTAATAATCTCTTTGGGATACAGACCTAGTAGTGGTATTGCTAGACCAAAGAGTATGCACATTTTTACAGCCCTTTGGGCATAGTTACAAATTGTTCTCCAGAATGGTTGGATCAGTTTACAACTCCATCAGCAATGGATTAATGTCCCAATTTTCCGACATCCTCTCCAACATTTATCATTTTCCTTTTTTGTCATATTAGCCAATCTGATTAGAGTGAGGTGGCATTTCAGAGTTGTTTTAATTTGCATTTCTCTAATCAAAAGTGACTCAGAGCAATTCTTCATATGCTTATAGATATCTGATTTCTTCATTGAAAAACTGCCTATTAATACCCTTTGACCATTTATCAATTGGGGAATAATTTCTATTCTTATAAATTTGATTCTATTTTCTATATATTTGAGAAGTGAGGCCTTTATCAGACTCACTTGCTATAAAGACTTTCTATAAAGCTTTCTGCTGGGTTTTGTTGCATTGGTTTTGTTCGTAAAAAAGCTTTTCAATTTAATATAATCAAAATTATCTATTCTACATTTTGTAATGCTCTCCATCTCTTGTTTGATCATGAATTCTTCCCCTCACCATAGATCTGACAGGTAAACTATTTCCTGCTCTTCTAATTTGATTGCTTCACTGTTTACGGTGCCTTTTAGCAAGATGTGTAGTTTTCTTCCTTATCTCTTTCAATTAGGTCTATTTTGGCTTTTACTATGTCTAAAATCAGGATTGCTACCCCTGCTTTTTTTTTTTATTTCAGCTAAAGCATAACAGATTCTGCTCCAGCCCCTTACCTTTACTCTGTATGTGTCTCTATGCATAAAGTGTGTTTCTTGTAAACAATACATTGCAGAATTCTGGTTTTTGATCCACTCTGCTATCCGCTTCTGTTTTATAGGAGAGCTCATCCCATTCACATTCACAGTTATGATTACTGTGTATTTCCCTCCAACCTATTTTTCCTCCTGTTTGTCCTCTCTCCCCTTTCATCCTTTCCCTCCTCAACATTGTTTTGCTTCTGTCGACCACCTCCCCAAGTCTGCCCTCTCTTCTGTCAGTCTCCCCACCCCCTCCCCCCCTTTACTCAATCTCCTCCACTTCTACTTCCTGTCGGGTAAGAGAGATTTCTATATTCAACTGATTGTGTATATGATTCCTTCTTTGAGCCAATACTGATGAGAGTAAGTTTCAAACAATGCTCATAGCCCACCTCTCCTTCCCCTCCACTGTAATACCACTATAATAGGTCTTTCTCACCTCTTCATGTGAAACAATTTACCCCATTCTACTGCTCCCTTTCTTCTGCAACTGTTTCTCATCTCTTAATTTTTTTTGTCATTCCCTCAAATTCACCCATACCCTCTACGTATATTCCTTCTATCTGTACTGTTAGTGATACAATTTTTAAGAGTTACAAGTATCACCTTCCTGTATAGGGATGTAAACAGTTTAGCTCTATTGAATACCTTATGTTTTCTTTTCCCTTTTTACCTATTTATGCTTCTCTTGGGTCTTGATATTGGAGGTCAAATGTTTGGTTTAGCTCTAGTTTTCTCCTTGTAAAGGTTTGAAATCCTTCTATTTTGCTGAATGATCATTTTTTTTCCTTGATGTATTATGCTTAATTTTGCCGGGTAAGTGATTCTTGGTTGTAGTCCTAGCTCCTCTGCCCTCTAGAATAGCATATTCCATGACCTCTGATCCTTTAATGTTGCAGCTCCCAAGTCTTGTGTGATCCTGACTGTGACCCTCCGATATATTTGTTTCTTTTTGGCTAGTTCTAGCATTTTTGACTTGATCTGATAGTTCTGAAATTTGGCTATAATGTTGCTTAGAGTTTTTCTTCTGGGATCTCTTTCCTGAGGTAGTGGATCCTTCCAATCCTATTCTGCCCTCTGGTTCCAGGATATCATGGTAATTTCCATGATAATTTCTTGAAAGATGCTGTCCAGATCCTCTTTTTGATTATGGCTTTCAGGTAGTCCAATGATTCTGAGATTGTCTCTCCTGGATCTATCTTCCAGTCAGTTGTTTTTCCCATGAGGTATTTTACATTTTCTTCCATTTTTTCATTCTTTTGAATTTGTCTGATTGATTCTTGATGTCTCAGAGTTATTAGCTTCCACTTACCTAATTCTAACTTTTAAGGGGTTGTTTTCCTCAATTAGTTCTTCTGAGTTTGTGTCTTGGTCTTCCTTGTCACCATAATAACTTTCTATGGTCAGATTATTTTTTGGTTGTGTTTTGCTCTTCTTTTTTGAGGAGCCTTCTTCCTTTCTTTTAAATTTGAGCTCTGCACCCAGGGTGGAAGGGGCACTATCTCAGGCATCTTGTGCTAGCTGGCTGCAGGCCCTGGTTGTTTACCTGGTGCTGTGATGAAAGGGTGGGGTGGGGGATTGCTGGCACTGCTGGAGGCCATAGGGGTCTGGCAGCTGAGCTGGTGCTAAGCTGGGTATGGTGGTGTCTGGCATGTGCTGAGGACCAGTG